TATAGATTTGTGTAAAATAGATAAATCATCCATTGATTGATTTGGGCTCCCTGATGAACTGCCATCACAGGAATTTGAATATACGTCAACATTCTTCTTGCCCTTGATCCGTTCTTCTTTATTACCTTTTATTTTCGCTGTTGGTTTATTGCCAGCCATATCACCTTATTGAAAGAAAATCAATTCAATTGGTAATAATCTTTATGATATAATAAATATTAAAAATAAATAAAATATTTACTATTTTAAGAGTTTATATTTATTGTTGAATATATAATATATGTTGGAAAAACAATTGGCATTTCAATGTGAAAGTTTAACTCTTATTAGTCATTTACATCAAGTCAAATTTAAATAATATTTTAATAACTCCTTCAAATATAAATATATATTTACCAATACCGAAATTGAATGACATGTGATACCTACATAATTTTGCTCACTTTATAAAATGGCAAATTTTTATACATCAAATTACTACTTAGACATATTCAAATAATTTTATAATTGACATAATATATTTTCAAAATCAATGCAAATTATTTGTTATTGACAAAATATACTATTTTATTTGTATTTTCTAAAATACTCACTTAAAAATAAATTTATTTGACATGCAAAGAATTATACTTGCTTATATATGTGTGTAGGAATGAAGCAATAGTCTTGAGTGATTGTTTTGTCTATATAAATACGTGAATATTATATAAAACCATATATTTTAAAAAATAAAAAAATGTGCATATTTTCATTATTTCTAACGCTTTTCCCTAATATTTTTCATAAATAATGAAAGAATTATTAAATAATATGATAAATCGTCCTGCTTAATAAGACTGATTGAGATTAAAAATATTTTACGAAATGTTTATAAAATGATTTTGAAAAAGTAAAAACACATTACCTTTTATATGAAATAAGCTTCATAAAATTGTTTAAATTATATTTATAATTAATTATTTCGTGCCAAAATAATCTTACTCATTTACAAAATTCGTATGAATTGATTCAAGTTTAGTAGTATGTATTAAGATGACAGCACTCATGCCTTGATATATAAGTAGTTTACAAATTTCATTTTCATTCATTTTTTGCACGTGCACGTTGGAAAATTAATAAAAATGGAAAATATAGACCCGACAAATTTAAACAATGACCTTACTACAAAAATGTGAGTTTCAACAAATATCTTGCATATTAAATAAATTATTGAAAAGTAACCTAAAACAACATTTTATTGCAATTTTTGGTTAAAATTGTTGATTTATTTTGTATGCATATCAGATGCACAAATTAAATTTAAATGAAAAGCTCTGAGTAATATTTAAGTTATGTGACCATTCCGGCTGTTTATTCTATCTCCTCTTTAATTTTACTTTTTTTTTGACTATTTGTCACATGTATAAACAAAATTCGTACCCTAATTTAATTAATTATAAAGATTTATAATTTATATGAATTTATTATAAAGATCTCACCAATAGTAACAGAATGTTATTCACTAAACAATGTTCTCGACTGATTTGTTCTTATTCTTATATGTTCAATTTTCATTTACTTTCTTTAAACTAATTGAATATATTTAATTATTTATAATTAATTTATTATATTTATTAATTTAATTAATACATTTTTATTTACATTCAAATGTATATAAATGTATGTATATTTATTCACTTATTTTTGGGATTTTTTTCCCAGTTTGTGCTGCGAATGTGGAGTTGCCATTGAACCGAATCCAGCAAACATGTGCGTTGCATGTTTAAGAGGTCAAGTTGATATTACAGAAGGAATTCCTAAACAGTGCACATTATATTTTTGCCGTGGTTGTGAAAGATATTTACATCCACCAGCTGAATGGATTGCTTGTGCATTAGAATCTAGGGAACTGCTTTCATTGTGTCTTAAAAAATTGAAAGGATTAAATCGTGTAAAATTAGTTGATGCAGGATTTGTTTGGACTGAGCCACATTCTAAAAGAATTAAGGTATATATTTCTAAACTTGTGATTTTTTAGTGATAAGTTATTCTTCATTGTTTTATATTTATAATTCATTTTCTTTACAATTTATTTCTATTATATATATATATATATATATATATATATTTATATATAATTAGGGTGGTCCTTAATATGGATATTTTTGAATTTTCTTGCTCCCAAGAGCTCAAATGCTTCCAAAATTCTCTGAAAGTTTTAACTCTTAATATCAACATTAAGATCATTTTTAAAATAATGCTGCTATATTTTATAATTTAAAATTTTTTTAACAAAAAATGTATTTAGTGTATTGCATTTTTTAATATTGTGCGAGAGTATTTTTATGGGTGCATTTTCATATTCTTTCTAGGTTCCAATCATTAGTTACTTTGTGAAAGTTTTACCAATTAAAACCCTTTATTGAAAATTTTGTATGATTGTTAATATAGTTTTTGAATAGGAAACAATAGTTATTGCTTATAAATCTGATTGTAGTAAGGTCGTTAAAAAAAAAGTTGTGAATATTTAAAACATAATTTATTCCTTGCCATTATTTTTTTAATAAGTTTTCAACATTATTTATCACAAATCATGTTCGTTGATTGGTTACAAAAAATTAGTTTTATTTCTGTAAATTTTCTGTGAGTTCAGTAAGACCTTAGTAAGACGTATATGATCATAATTTGTATTTTGCTTATAACAGGTTGTATTTTTCCGTATTTATAAACGTGTTGTACTTCGTGAAATGAATAAAAAATAGTTAATTTAATTTGATAAAAAATTATTAAAAAATATGAATTAATTTAATTACGACGTGTAGATGGGTCATACAAATCTAACTTCAGGTCCATCAAATGACGTTTAGGAAATAAATCTCTTGGCTTCCATTATTATTTATATTTTATATGTAGTGAATTCCAATGCGCGCTCTAAAATTAATTGATGTTAAAATAATTTCAACAAATAACATTTAACAAAAATTCGGCCAAATATAACCTAAAAATGCGTCGTCGCGCTGGTATAGGAGCTGTGCACCAGCAAAAATATGAGTCAGAAAAATATAAAGATAAAGGTACCGAAATCCAAGACAACCAATTCGAAATAATGACCCGTCAATTAGAAGTATTCCGTGAAAATCTGGAAGAATTTGCTATGAAGCACAAAAATGAAATACGTAAGAACGCCGAATTCCGTCGACAGTTCCAAGAAATGTGCGCATCAATAGGAGTAGATCCTCTAGCTTCAGGAAAAGGTTTCTGGTCAGTTCTAGGCGTTGGAGATTTCTATTACGAATTAGCTGTTCAAGTCGTTGAAGTTTGCATGGCAACAGCAGAAAAAAATGGTGGATTAATAACCCTGGAAGAATTAAGATCCAAATTAATCGCAGCTAGAGGACAAAGTAAGAAGCATCAAGAAATCACATGTGCTGATTTATTAGCTGCATCTAAAAAACTGAAGGTTTTTGGCAACGGTTTCACAGTAATTCCACTAAGTAAAGGTCGATACTTAGTTCGGTCAGTTCCTGGTGAGTTAAGCATGGACCACTCTGCAGCTTTAAGAGTTGCAGCAGATATTGGACAAGCCCACTTGTCCGTCAGTATTTTGAATAAAGAACTAGGATGGGACGAACTTCGTAGTAAAAGTGTGTTAGAGTATTTAATTGGACATGGTTTAGCTTGGATAGATTTACAAGGTGAAGAACCATTATATTGGTTTCCTAGTTTATTTGCGGCTTGTGTAGCTTCATGATGTTCTCCAAAATGTACAAATTTATTGTAATATATTATATTGAAAACAATAAATATTTATTGCACATGTATGTTCTATTCTTAAAAAATTATATTAATTTTGTAGTTTTGCTGCCTCAAAATTTTGATGTGTAGAATATTATTTAAAAATATTCTCTCACATAATTAATTTTCACACTCTGAAAAAAATGATTTGTGGTAGTTAGTAAAAATTAATTTTTTATCAATATGCATAATAATAGGCATATGTTACATTAAAACCAAAAAAATGTATAAATTTATATCTATGTGTAAACAATTTTGCTATTATTTCATTATAAAGTAAATTAAGTTACATACTAAAGTATGAAACATATAATTTTTTCACATATATATATATCTAAATAGGCAGTATTTAAATTAATTTAATGAATTAGCAGTAATTTCATATTGAGTTAAGATTTTTGAACTGATGTTGTAGGTAAAACTTACGGTGCATGGTGAAGTAATGGGTGGGACAGTGCTTCAGCAAGTCTTTGTTGTTGAATATGTTGTTAATCATCATATGTGTGATGATTGCCACCGCTCAGAAGCACAAAATTATTGGAGAGCGTCTGTGCAAGTCCGACAGAAATCTGAAAATAAAAAAACATTTTATTATTTGGAACAATTGATACTTAAACACAGAGCGCACGAAAATACACTTGGTATCAAACCAATTAGTGGTAAGATAATCTTCATTTCAGTAAATTTATTTCGAACATATATTTAAAATGCATACATTAAATAATATTGTTACATGAATGTTATATACCTGACATTTCACACACATGAATTATATTTAGTGTAGGAAATATTTTATTGTTAATCTCAATTTTACTAAATTATATTTTCTTGATAGATGGTCTTGATTTCTACTATGCTACAGAGGGTCATGCCAGAAAAATGGTAGACTTTTTGAACTGTGTTCTACCCTGCAAATATCAGCATTCTAAAAAATTAATTTCACATGACATTCACAGTAATATTTACAATTATAAATTTACGTATTCTGTGGATATTGTACCAATTTCCAAAGACAGTGTTGTATGTCTACCGAAAAAGCTAACTCAACAACTTGGTGGTATTGCACCAATATGTTTAGTTTACAGAGTAACAAATACTCTGCATTTGATTGATCCAATGTCTGCTCAAAGTAAGTTTTTAGGAATATTTTTCTATTTATTAAAATACATTTATAATATATTCAACATTATTTTCCTGATTAGTTGCTGAAGTTTCTAGTACAGTATTTTGGAGACAACCTTTTGATAGCATATGTAATCCTAAACAATTGACAGAGTATATTATTATGGACATTGAAATTATTGCAGATAAGGTATGCCAGCAGTTATGTAATATATTTTTTAATTTATTTTGAATTCTATATTATAAATTGGATATAATATTATAGTATAAGATATAATATTACACTATAAGATAAATGTACCATATTGACTTTAAAGATGTTTTGTAAAAAAAGTTAGGAAAGTAAACGAGTTAAATCAGTTCTATTCTATAAATTGGACTTATAAGATCATTATATAACATAATATTATATATTATTATATTATAATATTATAATTTTATAATTTTATATAATAGTTCATTGCATCTTTATGTTATTACTATTCAATGAGGCCTATATGGTGAACAGTCTTATTGATAACTAAATTAGATGTAAATCTCAAAACCAATCTAATAATTTGATTACATTAATTTCATTCTAACATAACAAATTCAATATTGTAATTAATTTTTTTAATTGATTTATTTACAGGACAGAAAAACTTTTCCAGGGCAAGGTGCCATTTCATCAAAGCATATCCTTGCAGATGCCTGGATTGTGAAAGCTTCTGAAATTGGAATAAACGATAATAATATACACACAAGAACTCATTTAGGTCATTTACTAAAGCCTGGAGATTCAGTCCTAGCGTAAGTGCAAATATATGCATATATAGTATTCTTATTAGATATTAAGTAATACAACTTATTATATTTATTTTTATTCTTTTTAGTTACAATTTGCAAGATTCTAATGTTAATAATTCGAGTTTTGATAAACTTGATCGAGCTAATGTTCCTGATGTCATTATAGTCAAAAAGCATTATGGTGAGAGATCTGCTAGAAAAAGGGCCAGAATGTGGAAACTTAAACATTTAGCTCAGGAAATTACTGAACTAGATACAGGCAACATGTATGATATCATTTATTTATTTTAACAAATTTTCATTACTTAAATGTTACATTTTTACTAATTTATTAGTTGCAATTTGTTCTAAACAAGCTGTATATTTGTGTTATGTTATTGTTTAAGATGTTTAAATAGTTTCATTGAACTTTTGTTCATCCCGAGGGAGAAGTTTGTTTTCGCGAAAAAATCCGGTTCGCCAATTTTATTTTCTCAAAGTTTCAAGTCATTCTGAATCGAATGGGACCGAATTTTTAAAATTATATTTGTGTGTGTTATTTCGCTTGTATATAAGTCTATTTTTGACTTTTTGTCGACGTTTTGTCAAAAGCGACTGTACCGATTTTAAAAATGTAAAAGCCATTTGATGACGTAACTCGGAGGACTCGGTATGGATTTATTTTAATACAAGGATTGATCCTAAATTGAATTTTTGCAGCATTCAATGCTTGAATTTTTTGACTATAAGTAAGATTTATATAGTCAAAATGACTTTCTTCTTATACTGTAAATTGACAAAAAGAATTTTATGAAGAATGTTGCAGACTAGCTTAGATAACACCGTGCGATATATTTTTTGGAGTGAACAGATTATAACTAATCTATAAATCAGATGATAAGAATATATAGGATTATCTATTATTAAATACTTTAGTAAATAATAATTAAAGGTTTCCTGAAATTATTTTTTTTTTCTAGGGACTATCATGAATTTTTAGATGACTTAGAAGAAGATCCTGTAATGAGACAAAATATAAATATTTTCCGGGACAAAACAATTCCAGTGGATGTAGATGATATGGATGATCCATCAGTACCTAGGATAACATTAGAAGAAATGCTTGACGATCTTGATATACAAGATGTTGAAATGGGAGAATAAACTATTTATTGTTTGTATATAAAGTTCTAAAGTTATTTAACAATTATATTATATTCTTGTTATTGCTTTTCACAATAAATGTAATTTTTGCATCATGCACATGGATTACATGGTTTTCTTCACCATGAAAATCAGAACACTTTTAATTTAATTAGATGTGGCAGTTATATAAACGATCAATAATGTATTTTTTTATACTTATTAGTTTATGAAAAGATTGCCATAATCAGCAAGAAAATATAGTGTGCTTGCCATAAGTTCCTCCACATTTGACTCAGTTTTTGAGGTTTGAAATACTCAATTAATTTATCCCGAGAACAAAATACCATTTGTAAAAGGTTACTGTTAAAATTTTGGAAACAAATATGACAGTTGGTTTGAGCACAAGGATATTACTGTGGCTCTAATTTATGATCTCTGAGGAAAGGCAGAGCAACAAAGATGCCCTGCCTTTCAAAGAGTCCTGAAAAATTAAAAATTAAATAACGGTTGAACAGCTTTGGCGTTGGCAGCACCGGTGGAAGGTCATAGTGATGGATTGATGGACGCGTAGTCTTGGTAGAAGACTACTTCTACCAATAACCAATGTTGGGCTAAATCGAGGCCACGGAGAGGTCAAATATTATCTTAAACAGGTGTTGTCCATGCATGGCTATTTTAGAGCATGCCTAATTCGCTTTAAGCACTACGCGAATGATGCCAATTAGAGGAAATGAAAGAATAATCTTCCAGATCACCTACATGAAATAATGACTAACGGTTGTTTCCGTGAAGGCGAAAGGCAAGGTTTTTGGTGATATCATTATTATTAAGTCCGACATATCCAGAAGAAACACTTGATAATAATCGGGAAAGCATTTTCTTCTATATGTAAGCAAACTTACAGTGGCGAACTCATGACGAAGCTCGTTAACGCGCTGACTCCATGTGAACAGGGTTGCGTAAATCGACGTTTTTTCAATGACGGCTGCACCGATTTCAAAAATTTAAAAGCCATTCGATGTATCTCGATGAGGACTAGCGTTTATCAATTTTGTGCGACGATCGGCCTAACCGTTTCTTCGTAAATAGCAGAAATTCTGAATCGATTTTAAAAATTCAAAAACCGTTTGGAAGATATTGGTTGGGAATCGACCTGATTAGTTTTTGGTAAAGATCGGCCGGGCTGTTTTCTTGTAATTATTAAAATCTTGTAAGTATTAAAATTTTTTTCGACGATTTTTTATATAGTCTTATAGATCATACAAAAATATTACGGCCCTACGACAACTCGTTTAACTTTGAAAATTCGTCAAAGTTTGCAAAAATTAGTATCATTTTTTTGGCATTTGTCAAAATTAGACATTTGATCGACGTTTTTTAAACAACGACTGAACCGATTTCAGAAATTTAAAAGCCATTTGATGTATCTCAATGAGGACTATCGTTTGTCAGTTTTGTGCGACGATCTGCTGAGCTGTTTCTTTGTAATTTGGAAAAAAGTGTTAAAATTTTCGTCCACATTTAAGCTCATACTACCGAATCGATTTAAAAAAATCAAAAACTGTTCGAAAGATATCAGTTGGGAATGATACTGATCAGTTCTCGGTGAAAATCTACCGAGTCGTTTTCTTGTAATGAACTGTTGAAAAAAAAATTAAGCCGATTTGTATGGACTTTTGGCGATATATTATATATCATGATCTATATAACTACTGAAAAATTACGGTCTTACGATAAATAGTTTAATTTTAAAAAATCATCAAAGATTGAAAAAATAAGTAGTTTTTTTATGTTTCTTAAAATTAAAATTAGACGATTTACTTGGTATAACGATAGAGTACTTGATCTTATTGAACATACTTAACTAATAAAGTCTTTTATATATATATATATATATATATATATATATTCTTGATGAGACTGGTTCAATTATAAAAAAAAAACTATTGATTTTTGAAAATTTGCTTTTAGAAAATACTCCGTGCATTCGTTTTATTATGTGTAATAAATTCACTCGGAATACTTTTAATCACGCATAAATTAATTTATTTTGTATTGATTAAGTCGATTATTTACACATATCGGGAAGTTCATGTATTTTGCCTCAAGGCAAAATACCAGTACCAACTAGTTTAAATTTATTTTTAGTTAAAATAAAATTTAAATTATTTAAATATATAGTCCTTATGTAGCAATCTATATTCCGTGTTATTAATTTATAAAAAACTTCTTGCGTACAATAAACTTAAACAAATTTCGTATATATTTACTTTGGTCAATATATGTATTTATTAGACTATTTTCTTATTTATTATTCTATTTTTATTTATTATTTTATTATAATATATATATTAAATTTATTCTATTATTTGAATTTATGGGTACTAATAGTTATGAAACATAGAAAATGCAAAATCGTATGCAAATTTATTTTATTCGACCTATACATAAACAAAATAAAAAATCTAACTTGTTTTAAGTCGTTTGTAAAATGTCCTTGGTGTAAAACAGCTCTTACAACTAGTTCCCTCTATAACAATAATTGATTAGAAATCCGGATGCAAACTAGGTGTTGCATTCATAATCGCGCTCAGTATGTTGTGGGAATTCGCTCGATATACTTATATCATTAATTATGTTTTTAAATTCTAATAATTGAAAGCGTATATCATATGTGCTATGTGAGTAATAATAAAAGATAATTTAACCAAATTTCAGAGTTAAAAACACAATTCCTATATGAAACCGTTCAAATAAATGCTTTTGCTGGTTTAAAGATCAACTTTCACTGCTCATAATGCTTGTTTATGTTTCATGTTTTAAATGCTTGCTATTATTATTTAATTTTCGATTGTTTCTCCTTCTATAAATAAATTAATCCATCATAATTAAAATTAATTTATTTTTCATGTGACTTTTCGTGCACAGCTAGTGTTAGTGTTATGAAAAAAGTTAATTGTACAAAAACCGGATTTTGCAAATAGAAATCTGTGTATAAGTAATATTTATATACAATTTTAAATATATATATATATATATATATATATATATATATATATATTCTTGATGTGGGTGTTATTTATATTTACATATTATTATGCGTGTGCGGATTATTTCACATTTTGTTTTTGGTACTCCTATAAATGTGCATAAATATCTCGTATTACACAAAACAATTTTCAATGAAATGTACCTAACGACTAATGTATATTGATATATATTATCAAACTTATATACGAAATTAATCATAAAGATAAGGACTCGTGTTGATTATTTTTTTATAATTAGGAGATAAGTGTAAAACTTTTCGTTAAATTTTTTGTCTAAACTCCTTAACTGATTTTGTAAAATCTAAAACTGTTCTAAATATAAAGGTTGGAAATAGTGCTCATCAGTTTTAAGCAAAGATCGGCCGAGTCGTAATTAATTTCCATATAAGTAATTTGTAAATGAGCATCATAAAATATGTAGAACTACGTATCATAAAAAATTATTCAAATTTGGAACAATGAGCACTTTTTAAATTTAGTTACACTTCTTGGGAAGTCCAAGTCACTTGAGTTAAGGCAAAATGCTACTAGCACCTAGTCATAAATAATACAAGTAATTTATACAAATATCAAATATACTATTATGCGTTGTTATCGTATAACATTATGTAGATATATTTTATACTACATACTTGATATTAATCTTCAGTTTTTCTAAAAAAATAGAAAAAATTTGGTTTTTTAACTTCTCGTAAGGTATGCTATAGTAATCGCAAAAAAATCGAAAATGAAAATGTTTGCATATCTTTATTTATTTATTTATTTATTTATTTATTAATTTTACAAGCCGTCGGTATAATATTTAATATTATAATAAGGCTTAAGTCATTATTTTATAGGTTTAATATAATTTAATTAATTATTAGCTATTTCATTACTTAATTTATTTACTATAAACCTATTTATATTTACTTAATTATAATTTTTTTTTTAAATATAACTAGTTTGTTTGTTACAAGTGTTTTTAAAAATTTAATAAGTAATTTTAATAAGCTTTACAATACATACTTTTACAATATTAACAAATTTTAGGTTATTTTATGATATTTTAACAAATTTAAGTATCTTATATTATTGTAATTATTAATACTATCATTTTTATTGTTATTGTTAAATATTTTTACAATTTTTTTTTCTTTTAGAAATTTTAAGGTATTTTGATGAAGGAAATATTTTGTTTCACAATTTTTAAGTGTTTTTAAATATAAGTTTTTGGTTAACTAATTATTAAGTATTTTAACAATAACAGTCAAAATAAAAAAATTAAATTTTTTTTTCACAATTTTAAAGTGTTTTGAATTATAAGTTTTTAGTTTACTAATTATTAAGTATTTTAACAATAACAGTCTTATGAAAATAATAATTAGGAAAAAAAAAAAAAAAAAAAAGTTTCTCAAATTTTTTTGTTTTTTAAATTGTAAGTGTTTAATTAACTAATTATTAAGTATTTTAACAATATAACAATAACAGTTATATAAAACAAAAAAAAAGAAAAAATAAACAAAGAAAGAAATAATAATAATAATAATAATAATAGTAATTTAGAAGTATTTAGTTTAACGAACGAATTATGTTGTCACGAGCATAGTAGACATAGACAGGCTGGTAGGTGACATCAGTTAGTTTGGGCCCGTAGATTCGTAGGGATTTTTACCATCGTCGATCCATCGATCTTGCTGCTGCCTGTAATAGAGAAATTTCTTCGAGCGGAAAAAGTCGCGTTAATGATTAGTTGAGATTTTCGGGAAAGTAATTTGAAAAATCGAAATTTAAAAACTCCAGAGGGCTATAAAAAGTTAAATCCTTTAACGCATTACTTAGTACTTTATGAAATTTCTTGTTATCAAGGGTACGAACACGTAACGGCAGTTTATTCATAAATTGTATACCCATACCGCAGATAGTATTAATGGAACTGTGTAGTTTATAGGTCCTACCTTTAATTATTTTATGTCTCGTATTGTGCTTGGTATTTGACATCGAAGACAAATTAAAAGAGTCTGGATTATTTTTTATGAAATTAAGTGTGACTAGAACAAATATACTCGGTACTGTTAAAATTTTTTGTTCATTGAAGATATTACGGCATGATGTCTTGGAGGATAGTGAAAAAATTATTCGAATTGCTCTCTTTTGAAGTTTAAAAACTTTAATTAGTTCATTAGAGAAACCCCAAAATTGGATACGTTTAATTCTTTACGTTTCAAGAATTTCTGAACATTTTGGCATACCTTAGAAAAAATGGATGTACGCGCGCGTGTGGATGGATGTACGTGCTGGTTAGTTTTTGTTAAAGACAGGTCCACCCGTTTCAAAGATACGGGGCAAAAAGTGCCAAAAATGATAATTCACTTTTTGGGAGTACGGAGTACCTGATATAAATGATTCAAAAAACATTTTACTTGATTTTTGGTAAGGCAGATCTAGCGGTTTCGGAGATACAGAGATAAAAGTAAAAAAAAGATATTTGGCGGTGAAAAATGATCATAAAACATATGCACATCAAATTATCATATATCTTATATAGATTTTAAACGTGTAGATTAATTTTGTTACAATTTTTTTGGGTTCCGTACCAAGACTTTTAATTTTTAATGTTCACTTATACGGTTTAAACAAATTTCAAAATTTTCAGATTTTTTTTCAATATTTTCAAAAATATATATACGAAAACATGTAAATTTTAAATTTACAATTCAGTTCATAAATGTATATTTTAATGCGTTATTTTATTCGTAAGAAATATATCCTCAGATAGATTCATTCGGCTTCTCTTTAATGTAATTTTCAAGTATTCGATAAGATTGTCACTGTATGTTATGCATACGAACGAATAATATAGTTATATTAATATATGTAGTATAGTTATTGTTAATAATATAGTAATATTGATTTTGTCTTTGAAAATATTTAAAACAATTGCAATTAATTATTATTAATATTTATTGATTATTAAATTTTTTGCTCGAATATTTAATTCTGGTACGGGAAGTTCCAGCAATTTGCCTTAAGGCGTCTTGCATGCACCACTAGTTTTTGTTATAATCTTTAAATCGCGGCAAATCTTGTAAATATATTAATGACATAACTCGATATGTAATATGTAATAATTAATAGCTATATAAACATTTTTGTTGTAACTTACTCAGTTATCATATTTTCAGGGCTTCTGAACTTAAATTTATAGTGAATGGAACTTTGCATAAAGGTATGAATTTGTAAATATTTATCAAGATGAACTAATAGAAACGTTAATCTACTTATATATTATATATTTATTAAATTCATAATCATGAAATATTGTTATTTAAGTTCCAACCAATATACCTGCCGATACATCGCTGAATGTATATCTCCGTCATTATGCTGGACAGCGCGACGTCAAAGCCATGTGCCACGAAGGCGGATGTGGTGCCTGCATCGTTTCGGTTAAAAAGACACATCCGATTACTGAGAAGACTGTCAGCATGGCAGTTAATTCGGTTAGTATTAAATCAAAACAATAATTATATAATTTTCTTTGTGATATCATATGTCTGTTATATAATACAATCTCATGAACTCTCAATGAAGGTAAGAAGAACAGTGATATAAAAAAATTCTCTGACAGTTTTAGCTCTGAATATTAACTTTAAAATACTCCGCACTCCAACCAAATTTTCTTGGTTCTTTTTCTTAAGTAAATACTTATATAAAGTATAACAAATGTATTCTGAGCGGATAAATAGATATTAATTTGGAAATATGAACAAACAACACTCTTTTTTTACACTAATTTACTAAATAATAATTTTCAAGTTTCGAGACTAGGTTTGTCTCATCATCAGTATGTTATAATTTAAAATTTAAAATATGGAAACCTAAATTAGCATTATGTGTTATCCGTTACAAGTCGTTCAATATACTGTCTTCTGCCCCACCAACGATCGTCGGATGTATATCAAAGTATAATTATTACTTATAAAGTATGTATATCAATCTTTTGTTTGTTTTATTATACAAAGCAAACTATACACACAATACATTCAGCTACTACTTAATCAGGTAAATTTGATTTGACAGCGTGAGAAGGATCGCTATCCCACAATAGCACCTTCTCAGATATTATGTGTTTTGATGTAGTAAATCGTTGCAGATTCTTTTTTTGAGACGCGGTGAAGGCTTGAGCAGGTCACAGGCTAATTGGTTTGGATGACGACTTAGACGAGCTTTGTATCTGGAGCAGTAATGATTGATTTCTTCTTCTTGTTGGAATTCTGAGATCTTGATGTATTAACCAGTTTGGGACATATTTTGGAGCGTTCACAATTTCTTTCAAGATTTTGTTCTGGAATTTCTGTAGAATAATTCTGTTTGATTTACTGGCCGCACCCCATAGTTGTAGACCGTAGGACCATATTGGTTTAATAATTGTCTTGTATATTAGGAGTTTATTTTCTAATGATTTCCAGCCTAGTAGCCAATTAAATTGCCTACGTTAGTTAGTTCGAGCTCAAATTCATCAAATTTTTGTTGTAATTTTTTTTATTTATGATCAAAATAAGCAAATGCAATGTTATTCTCAAAATTTTGATTTACTTGTCACTAATTTATAAAATTCTAAAAAACAAATGGAAGTTTACCCATATTATTTCCATAAGAAACTTTGATTGGAGAAGGTCTAATAATACACATGTGTTTCTCAACATGTGGGCTTATCTTATAAAAATGTTTTCTTGTATAATAAAAATTTCAGTGTCTGGTTTCGGTATATTCTTGCCATGGATGGGAAATAACAACTGTGTCTGGTCTTGGAGACAAAAAGACTGGCTATCATACTCTTCAAACGACTTTAGCTAGATTTCACGGAACACAATGTGGCTATTGTAGCCCAGGAATGGTCATGAATATGCACAGGTGAGAAATTGATCTTATAGACTAAGCAAATTATTAAATTAAAGACAGAAAAACGGCATTTCTGTACTGCTTTAAACCGCAATCTCTGAAAAAGTGGCTTCATTTCAACATCCACATATTTTCTAAATTAAAAATATTAATAATTGTTTCTAGTGCATTTTTTAATTTACAATCATCAGCAATTTTGTTAAACTTTTTTTTTTTTTTAATTTAGTTTGCTGGAGGATAATAGATACACAACAATGGCTGAAGTGGAAAATTCATTTGGTGGAAATATATGCCGTTGCACTGGTTACAGGCCTATAATGGATGCTTTTAAATCTTTGGCATCAGACGCCGATCCAAGTGTTGCCAAAAAATTTATGGTAATTATAGATAGTTTTTAATATCAGTTTTCATTTGTGGATTTATTGATATTTGATTTTGCAGGATATAGAAGACTTGGATAAATTAAAACGTTGTTCGAACAACTTGGATGAATGTTATGATTTTTGCTTTCTTCGTGATCAAAAAATTAAATCATATGATATCAAAGATACTACTTGGTATAAAGTACAGAAAATTAGAGACATATTCCAAATAATGTCAAAACATAAATCACTATCTTATATGTTGGTGGCCGGAAATACAGGAAAAGGAGTATATAGAATAAAAGTTCCTCCAAAAGTGTATATAGATGTTAATGAGGTGAATGAATTGAAAGAACAATCTATAGATAAAACCATAACATTAGGAGCTAATATTAGTTTGACAGATACCATGAAATATTTATTGGAAGTAGGCGGAACGGATGGATTTGAATACGTATTGGAGATAGTTAAACATATTGATCTGGTGGCTAACGTACCTGTTAGAAACGTAAGTTTTTTAAGTTTTATAATATGTATGTGAATTATAATTTAAACAACGTTTAAAGTAATACAAAATTTTTGTTGAATTTAATAATAATAGCAAATGACATGAAAATCGCATATGAACGCGTTCATAATTAACATCGCACAATGCTGATTAGCATATAAGAATACCGTACAAAAAGAGGATTAACTATGTAATATATAGCTATAATATTATTCATCAGAGTATTTATTCAAGAAATTTAATTTTATATAGATGGGGACATTAGCTGGAAACCTATCCTTGAAGCATCAGCATCCAGAGTTTCCTTCAGACATATTTTTGACTCTGGAGACAGTTGGAGCATTTTTGAAAATAGGTATAATCAATTCAAAATAAATAATTTTATATTTGACTACTTAATATTTAATATTGCAATTTTTGTAGTTGATTCCGCCGGCATGGAATTGGAAGTAACGCCTGCTGACTTTTTGAAGTTAGATATGCACAATAAAGTAATAGTCAGTATAATTTTATCACCGATTTCTGGAAATTTTGCCTTTAAAACTTACAAGGTATTCATTATGTTATTCAATTTGATAATTGCTGTTTTTAATTATTTTAAATTCAATCTGATCTTTTTAGATAATGCCTCGAGCCCAAAACGCTCATGCTTATGTAAACGCTGGTTTTTATGTCAGATTTGATAATTCTACTGGAAATGTAGATAACGCAAGAATTGTTTTTGGCGGCATAAATCCTAATTTTATTCATGCTTCAAAAACTGAAAATTTTCTGAAAGGTGTCAATATTTTTGATAATGGCGTTTTGAGAAGAGCATTGGATACACTGAATTCGGAGCTATCCTTAGATCATGAGCTGCCTGATGCTTCACCTGAATATAGAAAGAATTTGGCTCTATCGTTATTTTATAAGGTTATCTCTCACTAAAAATAAGCAAACTAATATTCAAAAATAATATATAAAACACAAATTTATTATTTTTTATTACAGTTTGTTTTAAATATGTGCCCCGAAAAACTAAAATCATCTTTAGTCATGTCAGGAGGTGAACTTTTGAGTAGACCATTATCTTCTGGTCAACAAAATTATGATACAAATAAAAATCTATGGCCGTTGCAACAACCCATCGGAAAACTGGAGGGAATTGCTCAAGTCGGTAGAAAGATATGATTATTAAGCTAATTGATCAATCAATTTAATTAATAATTTTATTTAATTTAGTGTTCCGGAGAAGCAGAATACATATGTGATATACCATCGCAACCCAATGAGTTGTACGCATCGTTTGTTTTGGCAAGGAAACCATTGACTAAGATTGCTAATTTAAACGCAAAAGATGCATTGGTAAGATGTAGTAAATTAAAAAATATAAATAATTATAATTTAAAATCATGCTGCGCAAAATGTGGAATGTGAGTAAACTATTTTTAGTTTTGCTTTAGAATTTGAAGTTGAAAAATCTAAGAAAATTAACAATATAAAAACATTTGGTGTTTCTCGTTGCACAACTTTATTTTTTTGGTAATGAATACTGCAATTCTTACTATATTCTTAAGTTATGTATATACGATATATCTTTGTCATAACAAAATAAACTTATCAATAATAATACAAATAATAATTTATTTATATTTTTCTCAATTAATTTAATCATTATATGGTGTTTATAATTAGTGCTTACAAGATTTTCTATTTTATAATTACGGCACATTTCACATAATATTAATGTAAATGAAAATCATTTTAACTATCTTCAAAAGAAATTTAAACAAACAATGGAAGCACTGAGTCAAGTTTTCTTTTTACAATTAACTAAATAATATTTTTTTTAATTTGTTTCTATTAGTAATTATCAAGCTTCAGAACTACAAATGAACATTACACGTATGCACATCAAATTATCAGATATTTGATGAAGTTTTTAAAAATGAGTACTAATTTTTTTGTCACAGTTTTATTGGGTTCCGTACCAAGATTTTTAATTTTTAAGGTTTACTTATACGGTTCAAGCTAATTTCAAAATTTTACGAAAAAAAAAATTTCAAAATTTTCCAAAACATACAAAGTTTTATACATCAAATATGGATTTTAAATTTGCAATTCAGTTTCAAAATGTATATATTTCAAATGCGTTATTCTAATCGTAAGAAATATATCCTCATATGGATCCAAGTGCTTTGAGCGAGAAGATCATCACTGTATATTATATGAACGATAAAATATATAGTGATTATAATTATCTATTTGTATAAAACAATCGTTGTAAATTAATGATCAATTTTTTTTTTGATTAGTGTTTTTTTTCCTCGAATATATAATTCTGGTGCGGAAAGTTCCAGCATTTCACTAGTTGCAACTTCATTTGTACATATTTGAATTAACTATATCTTTTATAAATAAGTTATAAATGACTTATATATATATATATATATATATATATATATTTATATATATATATATATATATATATATTGTTGTTTTTTATCTGTGTAGGATTTGGAGGGAGTAAAGGCGTTCTTTAGCGCTAAAGATATACCAGGCGTCAACACATTCACCACCCGCAGAATGTTGGGCATGATCGAGGACGAAGAAGTTTTCTGCAGTGGAAGGGTCCGCTTTTACGGACAGGCAGTGGGCGTCATAGTTGCCGAAACGCAACATTTGGCCGATAAAGCGGCGAGTATGGTTCATATGGATTACATACCAGATGAGGAAGGAAAAAAAATATTTGTAGATGTGAGAGATATTTTGAAAAATGAAAATACACCGGAAAGAGTGCAAAGAGATGCTCATCGTGAAGCAACTAATAAAGGTATAACTTAAAACTAATTAAGGTATAACTTAAATTGAAGTGTGTTGTTTGTAAAAATAGCTTTTTTCGGACATTGCTGCAATTAATTTGACAATATTATCAATATCTATTAGTAAGGTGACCATTTGTCCCGGTTTTGTCCGGGACAGTCCCGGATTTCACTTTCTGTCCCGGGCGATTCTAAAAGCAATATTTGTCCTGGATTTAGATATTTTGTCCCAGATTGTCCTGGATTTTCGAAAAGTATAAATTTAAACTGTTGTTTCGCAATGGCTTTGTAAACATCAAATAATATAATATAATCAAGTGATAAACAATCAATTATATAAAAATGATTAGCATATATAATGTTGGAGTATGCTTATATGAAACAACACGTTATGAATGAGAAAATTGGCGAATGCAAAGTTTCAAAAGCGGGTTAAATAGTTACGAAAATTAGCAAAAATTATGAAAACGAACTTTCAAACTGCCATAATTGCTAATTTTTACTAACAATTATTTACAAAATTTCATACAAGGTTTAAAAGCGAAAAACACGTATAAAGTTCTTACTAAAAGTCAGTAATTCTTATCAAATAAACTGATTCATTTTAAATAAAACTTATTTTTGTTTTATTACTAAATGATATTTGTTATTTAGCATAAAGCTTTGTCCTGGATTAGCATAAATAAAAATTGCTGTCCCGATTTTGACTTAAAAAAATACTATTAGATAATTTTTTATATTAAAAATCTATCAAGTATAGATACGCAAGCCATTGGGCTGCCTTCTACAAATGAATATAAAAAAATGTATAGTTGTTTGTGTAAAGATGGATTACTTCATTAATAGTAATTAGCGTTTTAGAGGTTTTGGAACATTTTGGCATATCTTAGAAAAATTGGATGTATATGTGTGTGTACGTATGTTTGGATACAATTTTTCACCACGATTTTGTGAACATGAATCGACCGATTTGGATAATTCAAAAAACATTTGATTCCTATTGACAAGGAGACGTGCTAATTAGTTTTTGACAAAGGCAGGTTCAGCTGTTCCAAATTCAATTAAAATTATTTTTATTGGATAGTATGCAATATGAGTTATAAGTCTTTGCATAATTATTTATGAAAACATTACATTTTAAATATTGAATAAACCTCTATTACGCCTTATAACATCACTTAAGTTATATTTCAACCCTTTGAAAACAATTGAAGCAAACTAGCGGAGCATTTACCTTAAGGCATCGTGCCTTAAGGCATACTCCAAGAACTTTCCTTACCGAAAATATAAAATTTATGAATTTTTTTTTTAAACTTCGAAATATTTTTTTTTTAATTTTAAACCTTGTTTCAAAGTAATCGCGTTGAGTTAGCTACGTAGAGACGAACTATCGAAGCGCGGAAGCGCCGCGTTGCATGTTCGCGGATAAATAATGGTACGGACCCCATAGAAATGTAAACCGTTTTTAACCGCCAAATGGCATTTTTCGCTTTTTATATTGGATCTCCGAAACCGCTAGACCGGCCTTCACAATAATTTTAACAGTTCTTCATTTTGTCAATACAAAATTGACTTGAATGTTTTCTGAATCAAAATCGGACGCTCCGTTATCTCAAAAATTAAATTACCATTTTTTGCACTTTTTGCTCCGTATCAAAAATCTCTTTATTGATTAGAATTTTATACCATTATACTATAAAAATATTTTATTAAGATGAATATGGATTATAGACAGATTATAGCCAAATTATGCACTGAAAATCATTGTCCTTGTCTTTATACAGAAAATATTTAACTAAAATCATTAATTTATGTATTTTATATAAAAAAAATCTTTAAAAATAATTGTCATTGAAAGGTTTCTTTCTTCGAATATTCTGTATGAAGGCTTTAACTATCCCTCCTGCTAATGAGGAATTCAACAAACTCATGCATTCAAACTACATTTATATATAAATAGGGTTTATATCAAATCATCCTAATAATAAATATATGTTTTTAGTATATTTTATTATAAAAATAATATTTTCAGGAACAAACGTTGCCCATATGTTCATCGGATCTCAGGACATGGGCAGTCAGTACCATTACAGCATGGAGACGCACGCAGTGGTGTGCGTGCCCAAGGAGGATGGCATGGACGTTTATCCTGCTACTCAATGGATAGACGCTGTCCAAATGGCCATTTCTGCGGTTCTTAAAATTCCTGAACATAGGTAATTCGAAATCATACATTTCAATGGGTACGAGAAAGTTTTAGCTTCATAGATTATCGTACAAGTTGCAAATATTTCTTATTTATCATAAAGCTCTATAATAGTAGAAAAAAGTTAACAAGGTATTATATTTTTTTTATCTAATTCAAGGATTAATGTCCAAGTCCGACGATTAGGCGGTGCATATGGAGTAAAAATCTCAAGAGGAAATCAAGTTGCAGCCGCTTGTGCTGTTGCCGCTCACAATTTAAATCGTCCTGTAAGGATGGTTTTAAATTTAGAAGATACCATGGATACCATAGGGAAAAGATATGATTGCGTAAACGATTACGAGGTATTAAGATAAATAATTTAATTATGATTTGAAAGATATTTCCAAAATTTCTAGGTTCTTGAAGAACAACATTTACAATTTATAATAACTTAAATTAGTTTTACAACAATTTGAGTTAGTTATTTAGAAATTTTCTTAGCAAAATATCCAATAGGTACTCTTAATATTAAAATTTGGTTTTATTTTGAACAAAGTATACATTATATCTTTGTTTACAACTTGTGTTTTTACTTTGAAAAAATTGTTTCTATAATTCAAATTATGATCATTGACTCTATTGAATTAATATGGATAATATTTACTGAGCGATTTTTAAAGCAAACGTAATCAACATTTATTTCTGAATCTTCTTATTATTATGCTTTCATTTCAATTTTTTATATTTACTTTTACTTAAAACTTTTGTTTTATGACTTATATTCTAAAACTGATTCTTAACAAGGTGGCTGTGGATGAGAAAGGAGAAATTCAATACTTGACGAACAATTTTTACCAAGATTATGGAAGCTCGCGTAATGAAGGGGTTGTTGGAAGTACAATGGAAATGTTTGGAAATTGTTACGACAAAAGTAAATTTACAGTTAATGGATTCTCAGTTTTGTCTGAAAAGCCTTCTAACACGTGGTGTCGAGCTCCAGGTGAGTAGACGCATGATTATTCTTAAAAACTAATTGCTTTTTACGGATATATTGTGTTTGCTGATTTAGTGCTTATATCTAATATATTTTATTCACAAATAAAATGAAGTAAAAAGATCAAAATGAAAAAATGTGTTAGTTAGGATAATTTCTTAAATTTGTTGCATTTTACGGTTGAAATATGCGTTTTGCCTGTTGTTTCGTATATATGCTTTATCATTTATTTAAGAATTTAGTAATAACTGTAATAGATAAATTCACATAAGAATATAAATATAATAAAATAACAGAATTTAGTTTAAAAAAATCTGACCATGTCTATGTTATTCATGCAAGTAGTATTGACTTGCTCCAACCTTCTGCAATTTGTAAATTTTTAGATTTAATTTTTTTTTTATTATCATATAGATATTACCATACTGATTAGTTTTCTGTTTTCAAAAAACGGAAGAAGGAATTTCCAAATACTAGAAAATAACTTGATACAGTCAAAAATATTACAAAACTTTGCAAATTCTAAGCAAATTCTAATTAGATTTTCAACTAAGTTCTAACGGTTCTGACTGCATTCTTATTAGATTCGAGCTATGTGCTGCCTAGATTCCCATAAGATTTTTCTAAAACTCTCAGTAAATTCTTATGTTAATTCTTAGGTATTTAATGATAGTTTGCGATAGATTCTTTTTAAAATATATTGAATTTAAAATCCATCCAAATTAATCAAATGCAGAATAACTGATGTAAAATTCTAAATCATTTAATTTTATTTCGAGATGTAGATAATTCTTGTCAACTAACTTAGTATATAAATATATTATAGAAATATATATAAAATTTTAAAATTTAATATAATATATATATATATATATATATATATATATATATACGAGGTGTGTTCAAAAAGTACCCGGAATTACTAATAATTAAATTTCGCGGGTCTGGAGTGTCTGATTGTCAAAATTTTTTTTTTATTGTGTTGGTATACATGCCCCTAAAGTATGATGAAATTTTCAGCTATATTCACTGTTTACTTTGTCTGTGGTAGTCGCTAAGGTTCGACGTGTTTTTCTGAGCTCGGCGATTTTTACAATGGAAGAATTGAAAAGTCAAAGAATTTGTATTAAATTTTGCGTAAAAAATGAAATAAAGTGTTGCAAAGTGCAAAAATTCACCAGATATGGCTCCGTGTGACTTTTTCCTATTCCCAAAGTTGAAGAGACCCATGAAAGGACGGCGGTTTTCCTCGATTGAAGAAAATCGCTGAGAGTGCTCAAGGACATATCAAAAAGTGAATATCAAGGGTGCTTCGAAAATTGGAAAAAACGCTGGCATAAGTGTATTATATCTGGGGGGGACTACTTTGAAGGGGACCACATTAATGTAGACGAATAAATAAATATTTTTTTGAAAAAACGAAAATTCCGGGTACTTTTTGAACAGACCTCGTATATATATTATAAAAAATATTAATTTAGGTAGCACAGAAGGCATCGCCATGATTGAAAACATAATGGAACATATTGCCCATGTTTCTGGAGTGGATCCTTTGGACGTAAGAATTGCCAATTTTCGGGACGAAAATAATCTTGTAAAAGAATTAGTTGGAGATTTTCGAAAAAAAACAGGTTTGTCCACGGGATTAAATAAAATTTTAAAAGAATTCATGCATATTGAAATTAGAAAAATACTATTTATGTTATTATTATTTAGTTTTTTATTATATTACAGAACATTTTATTATTATTATTATTTATTGCATTCAATTATTAATTATTTATTACTCATCTAATTTAACTAATTTTTTTATAAATATTTTGATATTTAGATTTTTTTAAGTCAATGATACGTGTTTTGTTTCTGGTAATACTTTTCTATTCAAAATTCTGATTCTTTTTACATATTAAATTTAACAAAAAAAATTAGCTGAGATAAAAACTAGATCTTTTTCTCATATCATTTACAGAGTATGATAGTCGAAAAGTTGCAATAAATGAATTTAATGAAAACAATCGTTGGCGTAAACGAGGCATAGCAATAGTGCCGATGTCCTACGCCCTGGACTACTTCGGCAAATTTTCGGCTGCCGTCTGCATTTATCACGGTGATGGTTCAGTGGCAGTTACTCATGGTGGCATCGAATGTGGCCAGGGAATTAACACAAAAGTATAGTAAAAGATATACATATTATAAAATAGACACCAATTTTGTTTAGTTTACAATTTTTGAATATTTGGATATAAGACATTTTAATCGATTCATCTAAATTCATTTGTTCAACTTTATAGATTAAAAATAATATATTATATTTTTTATTTATTTATTTTTTATACATATTGTAATTTTAAATGCATAAGAAACAGTTTCTCCTTAATCAAAATAGATGTATTTCCTTATGCTTTATTATTTTTTTAGGTTGCACAAGTTTGTGCTCACATTTTAGGTGTGCCTTTATCTCAAGTTTCTGTGAAACCAACCAACAACCTGATCTGCCCCAATGCATTCACAACTGGAGGATCAGTTACAAGCGAAGCCTGTTGTTTTGTACGTAAATAAAATTTAACAAAAGTTTTAATAAAAATAATAATAAATGAAATATTCCAATATCACTTTCTAAATAAATTGATTTCATCATTTATAGGCCGTTATGGAAGCTTGCAAAACACTATTGGAACGTTTGAAACCTTTTCGAGAGAAACTCGGTGAAAAAGCTGCTTGGAGTGATGTTGTCGAAATGGCGCATTTGCAAGATGTAGATTTACAGGCAACCCATTCGTAAGTATATTTTATATAAAATTTGGATGTATGTTTTGCGGGGTAATAAATATTTGACTTGAACACAGGAGAATCTTGAGTCTAATAAAACTATAAAAAACTAGAAAGATTATACTATAAGAAACGGGCACCAGAGCATTGGTGGATCCAGGGAGTGGATCACGGGAGTCATGACCCCCCCTTAGCTTGTCTTAAGACTTATATAGAACACTAATTCAGCCATTAAATTACTTCATAATGTATTTTGTTAACAAACACATTCTATAAATTCATTATGTAACTTATTATAGACGAACGGCGGAGTCAAATGCTCCTAAAATTTAAGGATTTTCTAATCGTATTGCGACAATGTGACCTCCCCCCTGGCGCCAAAGTAGGATTCGCCACTGCATCAGAGGCCCCAGATTATATGTTTATTACATATTCAATGAATTTATAATGTCATTTATAATATTTTCACAGGTTTACTAAAGACTCATCACCATCTTATGAAATAGCTGGCTTAACTTGTTGTGAGGTAGAAATTGATTTATTGACAGGAAATCTCATGATTTTACGTGTCGATTTACTAGAAGATACCGGAGAAAGTTTAAGTCCCGAAATCGATGTCGGCCAGGTAATTTGGTTTTTAAACAATATTTCACATATATAATAATTTTATTGATAACGTTTTTAAAGTAGACCTTATATATTTTTCTGGAAAATTATGAACTGCACTATTTTAGATTTAATACGATCTTAATCATAGAGATCAAGAATACTGCTTTTATATAAGGTGTAATTACATAATTTCAGGTGGAAGGTGCTTTTGTTATGGGTTTAGGTTATTGGCTGAGCGAACAAATTATTTATGATAAGAAATCAGGAGAATTGAAAACTAATCGTACATGGACTTATAAACCACCGGGCGTCAAGGATATTCCAGTTGATTTTCGCATAGAATTCACAAGAAATAATAAAAATCCGCTTGGCGTTTTAAGATCTAAAGGTAATGCTTTTGTGTTAACTGTGTTTTCACTATAAAATTTTTACATTTATTTACATCAGATTCTTCTGAAGTTATTAACTATGACCAGCAAGTCTTATAATTTTTCTCACAAGCAACAATTACTGATTTTTTCAACCACTTTAGTAAATCGTTCAAAATTATACTGTTTTATAATTTAAGACATTTTGACAATGAATTTCTGCATTCTTATAATCAAATAATATATTTGTTTATCATTTTACTAAATTATTACATGCTACTAGAATAAACTTTAACTATACTTGAATAGGCATTACTATATTTGGTTTATTGTAATATTTATTCAAAATATTACTTAATAAATTCATTGTATTTATAATTTTAATTCGATTTCTAATTAGCAACCGGCGAGCCCGCTTTTTGTATGAGCTTTGTGGTTGTGTGTGCAATTCGACATGCTTTGAATTCTGCTAGAAAACAATCCAATGGAGGAAAACCTGCTGAGTGGTTTTCTTTGGGTAATATAATATAGTTAATATAATAATTTCTTTCTTATACAAATTAATTTTAAATTTATATTATACTAAATTTGAATAATCTATTTTCAGGAGCACCTACTTCCCCTGAGCAAATATTTTTAAATGCTCATATCGATTATAAGCAATTTACCTTGTAATGTAAAATATGATACAATTATTTTAAATCATAGTTTTTAAGGGTGAGTATAACGCTAGTTTATAGTCATAGTACAGTATTAAAAACAAGTATTTTATAAAAAACTAATTATTAAATTTTTAAAACCGCGTTGCGCTAAACAACAAATTAAACTTAAATTGAATTGAATTGAAATCTCTGTCTTATTCTTTAATAAACTATAGATTGAATTTCTTATGCTTTTTATATTTTTCATTTATTAGATATATATGTATATATATATATAATATATATATATATATATATATATAATATATATATATATATATATATATATATATATAATATATATATGCCTTAACGTCGAACAAAAAAATTTAATAATATATAAAAATTGTAGATATTTTTTTTCAAGAATTATGCAAATAATTTAATCGCTAACTAACTCATGTTTTCATGAAAATATGCAAAACAATTTTGTGTATAGTAAAATCGTATAATTTTAACGTAAAATATCATTATTTTTAAAGTGTTATATTTTACAGATAATTTCTATAGAAGGAATAAAACATTTAAAATTCAATTCGATGAATTTTTGTGTTCTTTTATTATTAACATTTGAAATGATTTTGATATTTTGAAAATCGCTGGCTATTGAATTGATTTTCAAGAAGATATACAACCTTCATAGTTTATAGTTGTCGTTATTAAATTAAAAGAAGATTCCTGTAGTTCCACATACATTTTAGCAGTTCTTCTACTAAAATCCTTCAAAAAAGATTTAACAGTTATGATTTAAATATCAAGAATAATATCAAAAATTATAATATCAATTTATAATTAATTATTTGTCAATTATTGTTTGAAAAATAATTTTTATTCTAATTTTTAAAGTTGTTTTTAGTTGACACATAAAACGTATTACAAGCAATTATCGAACTATATTCAGTAAAATTTCTTTTAGATTCTTAATTATAGAAATATGTTTTCTTTACTATTCTTTATTTTTTTTTCACCTCTTAGGCGGAGTAAAATGGGGCTTCCAAGAGGAGATCAGTTTCAATGTCTCATTCTCAATTTTAAAGGGATTTTTCGAAATAGTAGATACTGTATTCAACCACTGCAAAATATAAACTTCACGTATACACGGTTACATTTTTATGAGAAAACACTGTATAACCTTGATCTGGTATTTTGTCAGAACTATTCATCAGCAAAGTTGGAATAACTATTTATTTAAAAAACTATTGTTTGTAAAATTGCATTTTCAACTTAATTTACTTTTTCGTTTACTATTTTTAGTTGTTTACACCTTTTCCAGGGTGAAGAATTGGTAAATCCTTTTCACTCCGCCCACGTGCAAGCTTTTAATAGAGGTTATATAAAAAGAACTGTTGAATCTAACGCAAAATTAACAATACATCTTATAGAATAAATATATAACGTATACTAAAAAATTATATTAAGGTCTCGTAAACAGTGCTCACATCCAAAAAAAAAACTAACAGTAAAAAAAAAATACTTTTGTTATGGATTTTTAAACATTGCTGTTTATTGTCATCGTAAGAATCAAGGTGTTGTCTGGTTATACATTTTTTGCCCCCAACTTTCAAATACTGTTGATAAAAAAATCTTTTTGGTTAACTTAAGTTCTGATTACAATTTAAAAACAAAACTACTGGGGCGCATGGCATCGAGCTTTGATGCAAATTGCTGGAACTTCCCGTAACAAAAATTATTTTTTTAAAAAAGATTAACATTTTTGAAAAAAATTTACTCTGAAAAAATTAGATTTTTGAGAAAATATAAAATTTTGACAAAAATTTACTTTTTTTTTTGAAAAAAAAAGACTTTTTGAAGAAAAATTTAATGAGTCGTAATCACTCATAATTCTAATTTAGACTAATATATGTCAATTTTTCGTGCATGTACAAAGAGTAAACAAAATTTACATATTTGTGAAAAACGTGATCAAATCATTTTCAGCGCACATATTGTAATTTATTTGTGTTATCTACAGCGGTGCCATATATTAGTATCGAATTTAATATTTGAGACATAGATACAATATCAGTGATACAATCAGGATATATGAATTCATAAAATATATTCAATTTCACACAGTAGATATGTAAGTACCTAAAGAAGTCTTACTAAAAATTAATTAGAAGTGATAATACAAGTAATTGCCATTGAAATTCAACCTATTAAATAAAATAAATAAATATATTAATACTAAATAAAATTTGTATATATTCAAATATATTTAGTTAAAATTAATTTTGGTATTTTTTTAGTTACTTCACTGAATTTTTGAATCTCAACTTCGAAGTAATTTTGCGTGCACGTAATTGCCGTTATACAATTCAGTCAAAATATTACAACATTGTATATATAATACAATCACGCACCTTGAATATAAGTAGTTTGAATACCAATTTTTTACATACAAATCTTTACTGATTGTCAAATCTTCATAAAAAAGTAGTAACCGGTTGCTCTTAAGAAGTCTATTTGATATTTTATTATTATATTCGACTTCAGTGTATCAAAACGTTAATCCTGTGCTAATAAATGAAATCAATAATGATCAATATTTCTGATAAGTGTCACGGTATAACTACAAAAATGTTTAACAGGTCCCATGATAAAGATGATCCAGTGACTTTGAAAATTAACGGTGTGGACTACACAGGTAAACTTTATTTTTTTATATTTTAATATATATATATATATATATATATATAATACAAATAAAAATATTGTCAAAAATATGTTACACCTGGTTGTCGTTGTTCTTATTACGTACCTATTTATGAATCTTTTTATTATGTTCTTATTATGTACTTATTTATTTTTGTTATTTTCAATAGCAAGAATATTTCAATTTTAAACACCATATATTTATTAGGAAATATGATAACTAAAATAAATACAATACAAATACAAATATATTTTCATAATACCATTTTCAATTTGGATTTTGGAATCGCGACATAAATTACTAAAAAACCAAAACCTAATAATATATCGTGGATATACATCTATATATCTAATATAAATATGTAAAACAAATATATGTATATATATTATATACACATATATTTATATATATATATATATATATGTATGTATTTATAATAATTAAAAATATATTATTTATTTGACACGCTTTTTATACAAATTATTAGTTATATAAATAATAGAGCAAATTTTTGTTTGCCCCCGTTTCTTCAACTTGACATCGGGCAGCAGCGATCTGCATTTTCACTTGGAAAATATAGATAAAAAAATATGTTCCCAATAGAAAATAAGCCCATTTTCCCATAGAAAATAAGCCCAATTTTGAATTAGTTATACTGCTAATAATTACTACTTAATTACTCATCAATTTGCTGTTTCCTTAACCAGTATCATATATCAACTCAATAAACTGTGAAAAATGAAAATTAAACTAGTGGTGCATGACATCGTGTCTTAAGGCAAATTGCAGGACCTTTCCGTAACCAAAAAAAATTAAGATTAAATGTTTTAGAACTTTGAAAGAATTCGATTATCAAAATTTTTGGAAAAAAATTACCTTTTTAATTTTTTTTATATTTTGGAAATTTTGAACTTTTTTTCAAAGTAATCGCGATTCGTTAGCTGGTAAAAACAAAATATAGAAGCGCGTGGGCGCCGCGTCGCAGAGTTACAGATAAGCATTGGTACGGAACTCATAGAAATGTGAACAAAATTTGTTCTTATTATTAAAATATGTTTAAAATTTGTAATAATTTGATGTGCATATGTCTATATGGATCATTTTTGTCCGCAAAATGGCATTTTTTTTCACTTTTTTATGAATATCCAAAACCGCTAGACTTGTCTTCCCAAAAATTTAATCAGTTATTTATTTCGTCAATACAAATAAAATGTTTTTTGAATCATTCAAATCAGACGCTTCGTTCTCTCAAAAATTGAATGAACATTCTTGGCACTTTTTGCCTCGTATCTTTGTAACGGCTAAACCTGCCTTTGCCAAAAACTAATCAGCACGTCTCCTTATCAATAGAAATCGAATGTTTTTTGAATCATTCAAATTGGTCGATGCCTGTTCTCGACATCGTTGACGAAAAATTGTTTCCGCAAATACATACACACACACGCACATACACATACATAAATTTTTTCTAAGGCACGCCAAAATATTCAGAAACTTCTAAAACGTAAAGATATTTAAAAAAAATTATTTTTGATTTTTTGCAATTACTATAACTTACCCTATAGGAATTTAATAATTTTATGTAATTTTGAAATAATTTTAATGCAGATTGAGATGAACTTAAGCTTGATAGATTGTGGCCTAGTTTGTTCTACAATATAATAAATTACATAGTAGCAAGATTATTATTTTAAAAATATATAGTCTTTAGATTAATTAAGATGGACTGTAGCTTGATAAATTGTGGCCTAGTTTATTCTACAATATAATAAATTACATAGTTGCAAGATTATTATTTAAAATATAGTCTTTTCCTTGGATTAAATAGATAGTTTTTCATAGTCATTAATGTAATTACTGGTAACTAAATTACCATTTAGTTCCGCCTGATCTGCCTCTCGAGACGACATTGAATTTATTTCTTGTCAATCATGCAAATCTTCGAGACACGAAAACGATGTGCCGGGAAGGAGGATGCGGATCGTGCATTGTATCCGCCCGCTACAGACACGCCAGCACTGGGAAAATTGTTAGCTCAGCTGTTAATTCGGTAAATAGTCTATATTTTTCTCAAATCCACACAGATTAATTAAATAAAAAGTTAATTATTTAATTAATGATGATGAATATTAGCTTTATAATAATAATACATTTGTATTGATACGTTTGAAGAAAACAAATATTTTTTGTTTGCAATATATATTGTGCTCTTTATCTCTACAGACAGAAATATCCAGATAAGTAAAATTAGGAACTAGTGTTATGTATGGCATCATGCCTTAAGGCAAATTGCTGGAACTTTCCGTATCTTAATTAAACATTCGAGGAATATAAAATGCTTTCAAATAGATTATTATAAATAAATACTGTAACATTGTCTAATATTTATAAGAATTATGTAAACTGAATTGCAAAGTTGAAAATATTTGTTTAAAGTATATTAGAAATTAAGTCGGAATTACAATTAAAATCTGAATTATTCTCGATATACAAAAAAAAATTTTTTGAAAAAAAAAATTCAAGAAAAAAAATTGAAACAAAATTGTTTCTTCCAAAAGCAATTATTTTGTTAAAAACAAGCAGAATCATTCAAATCGGACGCTTAGTTCTCTCAAAAACTGCCATTTTTTGCACATTTAGCTCTGTATCTCCGAAACCGCTGGACCTGCCTTTGCCAAAAACTAATCACCACTTTTTCCCGTCATTACGAATTGAATGTTTTTTGGATCATTCAAATCCGATGCTCCAAACTCTCAAAAACTTTTCTATTATCTGCATTCTTTGCTCTGTATCTACGAAACGGCTGGACCTGCTTTTGCCAAAAACTAATCATCACATCTCTCTATCAATAGTAATCGAATGTTTTTTGAGCCATTCAAATCGGTTGATCCATGCACCCGAAAACATGAACGACAAAATTGTATCCATAAATATATACACACACACATACACATCCATTTTTTCTGAGGCATGCCAAAATGTTCAGAAACCTTCAAAACGTGAAGAAATGTAAAAAATTTGAATTTCCAATTGATATCTTTCGAACATACTTATACTATCTGTAATTATAAAAATTATATTAATTGGTTTAACATGTATGAATTTATTCATTTCGGGTTCTAAAAATGTATTTTATTTTAGTATAAAGTATGTGTGTGTGTATCTCAAAATCTATAATCCATAAACACGGTACGTATATAGATGTTCGGCATAGATTCTGATTAGAATTTAAGCAACTCTAAACTTTGATCAACTATTTAAGAATTTTTTCACATTTTTCTGTTAATTCCGAAGAAACAAATATGGCTTTTACATTTTTGAAATTGGTCTAGCCGTTTTTGAAATACACACAGAAATTTGGTCACATTCGATTCATATTAATTTGCACGTTGAGAAAACATAAAATTTGCAAATTGATTTTTCCGAAAAAACTTCTCTTTTTTGAAGTTAAAAATGAATCAATGTTAATATTTCTAGAATAAATAAAGTTTTAAATGTAATATTCTTAAAAGCTTTAGTATAACAAAATGCTATTAATATGCGCTCTTTGGCTTTTCTTATCTTTGATATATAGTTAGATTTTTGCCCAAGTCTGGATGTCCATTCAATATCTAATACACCACTTATGATATTGAATTACATGACTTAATAAATTAATTATATTAAATATTATGCAATAATATAAACTATTTATTCTGTTTTTATAAGTGAGCATATTTTTTTTAATCATATGTTGCATTATAATTATTATTTATGTATATAATATATTTTATTTACATTACTAATTCTGAGTTTATAATAAATCAAGAAATTCAAACTAATGTTTTCCAATATTTTCAGTGTCTAACTTTTGTTTATTCTTGTAATGGATGGGAAATTACTACAGTGTCCGGACTCGGTAATAAAAAAAGTGGTTATCATACTTTACAAACGACTTTGGCAAAGTTTAACGGAAGTCAATGCGGTTATTGTAGTCCTGGTATGGTTATGAATATGCACAGGTAAAATATTCTTCTATTAAATGTATTTGACCATTTGTATTATTGACCATTAAATAAAAAAATAAGCTAAAATTTTTCTATTTTAACTTAAAGCCTAATGGAAGCAAATGAAAACTTGACTATGGCAGAAATTGAAAATTCGTTTGGTGGTAATATTTGCCGCTGTACTGGATATCGGCCAATTCTGGATGCGTTTAAATCATTGGCTACTGATGCAGAATGGTCTATGTTGAACAAAATACAGGTGAATTTGACTTCTAAATTTGTATTATGAATATCTGATTGATAAACAATGATATAATAGCTATGTTGAAATTGAAACGCTTTTTGCAGGCGTCGGTATCTTTTCTATTAGTATTTAGTAAAAATGTTTTATATGCATTATAATTATTAGAGCTTTTTAGGATATTGAGGATATTGATAAAAAGAAACCCTGTCCAAAAACGGGGCTCGATTGCTCAGGCATTTGTGCCGAAAATATTAAGAAAACAATCAAATATGAAGTGAATGATATTATCTGGCACAAAGTTTCATCAATAATCAACGTTCTGAGGCTCTTACGATTAAATCGAGGAGTTCCCCTCATGTTAATAGCTGGCAATACTTCTCAAGGTGTTTACAGACCAAAAGTAACACCTCATGTTTATATTGACATCAATAATATTCCTGAGTTGAAACAATGTTCAGTTGACAAAAATATTATCCTTGGAGCAAATCTGACTATATCAGAAGCTATGTCATTTTTGACAGAAGTATCAGGGATGGAAGAATTTAAATATGTTCAAGAAATTGTAGATCATTTAGATTTGGTCGCTAACGTACCTGTGAGAAATGTAAGTTAGAAAGTTTTCTATTCTGCATAGTTTAAAAACTGCAAGTGTTATATATGAATATTGAATTTTATTTGGTTTAATGCCTTGTCTCATGTGATATTACTATATTTTTTTAGATGGGCACGCTTGCTGGAAACTTATCTATTAAACATCAACATAGAGAATTTCCTTCAGATCTATTTGTCATATTTGAAGCAGCCGGTGCATTTATTAAAATTGGTAAGTAATGGAATATTAAATGTTTAATAAATTTATATTTTAACTTTTTATTTGATGTAGTCAGTACTTTAGCGTCCGAATCTATGGTAACTCTAGCAGATTTTTTGAATCTTGACATGAAAAATAAAATTATGGTAAATATCTACCTACCGCCAAGAACTGGAAATTTTGCTTTCAAAACATATAAGGTAAGTAATATATATATACGTGTGTGTGATAGAAGTTTTGAATTTAAAAAACCTTATTTTTAATTTAAGATAATGCCACGTGCTCAAAACTCTCATGCTTACGTTAATGCTGGATTTTTAGTAGAATTTGATAATAGCACAGGCAATGTTGCAAATGCCACTATCGTATATGGTGGTATAAACTCTTCGGTAAGATTGACTGATATATGAATTCTATATATTTATTCATAATTTGAATTTTAAATAATAACACTATTAATTTTTCAGTTTATCCATGCTTCTAAAACCGAAAATTTTCTTCAGAATGTTAACATTTTTGATAACAAGGTCTTAAGATCCGCTCTTGATTGTTTAAGTTCAGAACTGCATCCAGATTGGGAGTTGCCAGACGCTTCGCCAGACTATAGAAAGAGTTTAGCGATTTCCTTATTTTATAAAGTAAACCGTTTTCATATAATTTAACCTAATACACATTATACAATGATATTATTACTTTTATATGGTATTTTTAGTTTGTGCTAAATATGTGCCCAGAAAAACTGTTATCCGAAAAAAATAAATCAGGGAGAGAAATTCTAAGACGTAATTTGTCCCGGGGTGAGCAAACATTTGAAAGTAAAAAGGAAATGTGGCCAGTTCAAGAACCGATACCCAAAATCGAAGCTTTATATCAGGTACTGAATACATATATACAAATATATTTAAATATTTCAAATATTAATAGTTCTATCCATATTTAAGTGCGCAGGAGAAGCAGAGTACATCGCCTATATTCCACTTAAGCCGGGGGAATTATTTGCTGTTTTCGTCCTAGCCAAAAAACCTCTAACAACCATTACACATATTGATGCCAAAGACGCATTGGTAATATTTTTATATTCATTATTTTTATATTGAGTTATGAATTATTTTTGCATTAATTCTTTTAAAAGTTAGATGAGGTAGGAGATGTACATTTATTACCGCTCAGAAAAACATAATCTCCAAGAGATAATGTTTTGTTCTTTTTTTTTCAAATATAATAAGCTTTTGAAATATTTTAGGTATACATTAACTGCTTTGTCTAGTTATGTGTTAACCAGTTCAATCATTTTTATGAAGTTTTTTTGGTGTTTTTCACAATATTTTTTTTAATAGATTAATTTTGTGTAATATTTGCGTGAAATATTTTGTAGTAAAATGCAAATAAATTTGATGTATCATCTTGATCCAATCTCAACTTAACTTAATTTATAATAAAGTTGAAAACCGCTAGAAATGGTTTAAGTTCACGTATTTAGTTGTGCGACATTATAAGCGTTTATTTTAGTATAAAATGTCTATATTTAAATATATAGCTTCTGATTATAAATTAATTTGTATTTGAACTATTGAAAAACATGAACCACCTTATTAACTTCCCGTAGGGTAAGACATGTTAATCGTAAAAAAATCTAAAATAATTTTTTTTGCATATATTTGGTCTTATGAACATTTTGGCATACCTTAGAAGAAATGAATATATGTGTGCGGATACAAATTTTCACCGACGATTTTGAGATCATGGATCAACCGATTTGAATAATTAACGATTAGTATTGTTGGGGATACCTGCTAATTAGTTTTGGGCAAAGGCAGGTCCAGCCATTTTGAAGATACAGGGCAAAAAGTGCAAAAAATGGCGATTCAGTTTTTGAGAGAACGGGGCGTCCCATTTGGATGATTCAAAAAGCATTTTATTTGTATTGACGAAATGAAGCACTAATTAAATTTTTGGAAACGCAGGTCCAGCGGTTTCGGAAATCTAATGAAAAATTAAAAAAGTACCATTTTGCGGTCAAATATTATCATTAGACATATGCACATAAAATTATCAGATATTTTATAAAGTTATGTGTTAAGAATAAGTACAAATTTTGTTTACATTTCTATAGATTTGATATAGGCGATACAATTGAAATTTATATATTTGCAAAAAAAAAATCCAATCCAATCCAAAATAGATAAAAGTGTTTCTATAAAAATAGTTTTTTGAGTTCTTTGGCCAAACCATATCCATATAAATTTATGTTGCCTTTTTTATACTATTAGATTCTGCCCGGTGTAAAAGCGTTCTACTCGGCCAAAGACATACCTGGTGAAAACAGCTTTGCGTCGCCAAAAATGCTTCTAATGAATGATCCAGAGGAAGTGTTCTGTGAAAGCGTTGTAAAATTTTACGGTCAACCAGTAGGTGTTGTTGTGGCCGAATCTCAGGCGCTGGCAGAACATGCTGCCAAGCTGGTTCATATAGAATATGCTCCTACCACCAATGGAAAAAAGGCTTATTATGATGTCAGGGATGTTCTGGCCCATGATAACACCCCATCTAGGGTGAAGTTAGAAGATAGTCATGAAGCGAAAGATAAAGGTAGTTATAAAACAACAAAATAACAAAATATCATTTTAACCCTTTCCACTCACGAATTGCAGAATTAATACGTATTTTGCCGCCCGAGGCATTTTAAGGGAAAGGGTTAAAAGTTTAAAGTTTTGAATACCATTAACACTATAATTAGTTATAGGCATCAGTCTAATTTGAAATAGGAAGTTGTAAAGATAGGAATAGTTTTTGCAAAACCAGTAGGCGAAAAACTATCTGATAGTAGTGTGATTTCATACAAGTATTTGTATTTTACTTGAACCAAATTTGAAAGCTAAAATGATTTTTTGAAGTCACTCGTTGGAGAAGGAGTCTCCTTTCAAGAGTTTTTGAAATAAAATTGTTCTGAAACTTTTGATGATAGCATGATTTATTATCGCACATTATATATATCAGAACTTATTACATTTCATTCTCATTTATAATCACAAATTATGGGTTTGCTCAAGTGGTAACAATTTTGGCTTGTAGCATCAAGTCTGCAGATCTTATTCCCGACTCAGACAACCTGATAAGAAGACGCTATATTATTTTTTTCTTGAACATATAGATTTAAATATGATTTTAAATAAAAATACGCTTAAAGTATATATCATATATACTAATAAAAAATGTAATAATAATCTTATCAGAAAGTCAGGCACTGTATTGCTTTCTAAGGAATTACATTTCAACAGCTTATAAATAGAAGTTCTATAATAAAAGCCCATAGTGTACTATAAAAGAACACTTGCAAAGAATTTTGATAGCTCTATTATATATATATATATATATATATATATATATATATATATATCTTGTAAAATTTTTGAAAAAGTGTATTGTATTTTAGTTGTACTTAACAAAAATTTTATATACTTAAAATAATATTTATATAGCTATTTTCAATTATGATTCTTTCGACTTTTAGGATCCGATGTAGCACATGAATTTTCTGGTTCTATGGATATGAATGGTCAATATCATTTTACCATGGAGACCCAAACGGTTATTTGTGTTCCAACTGAAGATGGCATGGATGTCTATCCCTCAAGTCAGGGACCTGATAATATTCAGATAGCAATATCGCAAGTGATAAAAATGAAAGAACATAAGTGAGTGTGAAGTTAAAATTACTGAATTTATTCAAGGTTCTTAATAATAAAAATGCAATTGTAGAATCAATGTTAAAACAAGGCGTGCTGGTGGGGCTTTCGGTAGTAAAATTTCAAGAAATAATCAAGTATCTGCAGCATGTGCAGTTGCTGCATTTCTTTTAAATACTCCAGTGAGAATGGTGTTGAGTATCGAAGATAATATGTATGCTATAGGAAAAAGAAATTGTACATCTCTGGATTATCAGGTGGGTAAAATGTGTGTATTTTTTAGTTATTAACTAGATTATTATCTCAAAAGTTTAAAATCATTTTTAATTTAGATTTTTCATATAATGTACATATAACTAATTTGTTCTGATATAAATTCATAAATCATTCATGTTGATTTAATATGTTTAATAAAACTAAAACTAGAAGATCAGTAAAAATAGTATTTAAACAATTTAGGGGTAAGTGTTTCTTGTGATTCACCTTTGTTTATATTATAGATAAAAGAACAAAACAAAGTATATTTACTAGTTTATATACTATTAAATCCTGTCAATAACACTAAAACTGTTTGTCTATAAATTATTTAGATTTATAGACATAGATAGATTAGTTTGGGATATATGGTATGCTTCTTTGTTCTACTATTACTTAGTTTTTACCATCTAATCATATTTTTATTTTTAATTAAAGGTTGCTGTGAACAACCAAGGAGTTATTCAATATTTATCTGCCAGTATTTACGAAGACTTAGGATGTTCATGGAATGAAAGTGTAGTTTTGTTTGCAACTGAAATGTTTCAAAACTGTTACGACAACGTCAGATTTAACTTGGAAGGATATGCAGTTTTAACAGAAAAACCGTCAACAACGTGGATGCGAGCTCCTGGTATTCATATATATAACTAAATAAATAATTTAACTTTGACTTAATTTAAAGTTTAACAGTGCTTGAATAATATACATGCTTGAATATCGTGAATTAAATTTCAGGGGCTACTGAAGGTGTAGCAATGATAGAAAATATTATGGAACATATAGCACATGTAACAGGAAGAGATCCTCTTGATATTCGAATTGAAAATATGAGAAAGACAGATAACTTAGTATATGATATCATAGATGATTTCAGAAAGAAAACAGGTTTGAACATTGACATTAGTTTGTTTTCATAACTGTTCTATTATTTTGATTGTGAATTGTGCATTTTAAGATTATGATAGACGCAGACACGAGATTAACGAATTTAATGCTAAAAATCGATGGCGCAAACGAGGAATAGCTATAGTTCCAATGTATTTTCCAATAATCTACTATGGAAGATTGCAAGCTATGGTTTGCATTTTTCATGGAGATGGAACAGTTGCTGTTAGTCACTCTGGTATCGAATGTGGACAAGGCATCAACACTAAAGTAATAAATTATCTAAAAAATATAAACAATTAAATATAAACTTTAAAATATAAATTTTGTTTTGTTTAGGTAGCCCAAGTTTGTGCTTATACATTAGGCGTAGAGTTAGATTTAGTTTCTATAAAACCAAACAGTAATATGGAGTCACCAAATTCAATGATTACAGGAGGATCGGTTACTAGCGAATCTTGTTGTCTGGTAATAATTAATAATACTTTAATTTATTAATATGTATACACTAATAATTAAAAATTTAATTATTTGTAAATGTTACGAAGGCTACCATTGAAGCTTGTAAGATATTACTAGAACGGCTGAAACCAATCAAAGAAAAGTTAGGTGGAAATCCAAAGTGGACTGATTTAATTGACGAAGCTCATAAGGAGATGGTAGAGTTGCAAGCTGTGTATTCGTAAGTATAAATCATATTTATTTGACGATTGCATTAATTTAAAAACTCATTGTAAATATTATATATTATTATATTATATTATATTATTATTATTGATCACATAATTCTTTACAGGCATAAGCCAGATGTGGTAAATAAATCCTATGATGTAGCCGGATTGTCGGCTTGTGAGGTTGAAGTAGATTTACTTACTGGCAATGTATTATTGCAAAGAGTAGATATAAGGGAAGAAACCGGAGAAAGTATAAGTCCTGAAATCGACGTTGGCCAGGTAATAATAACTATATAAATATTTAAAATAATTAATAACTAACCTTTGAAAATTAATTCTTGAATTTGTACAATGATAAATTTTATGAATAGTTCTACCAATTTTATTATACTATTTTGCCAATTATAATCGATTGAAACAGACTGAATTATGTATATTTCTTAACAAACACGGAATAACAAATTTTGTAATAGACTTATTATAAGAACAATTATGCTTATTTAAAAAGTAAATTATACAATAAGTTTAAATATTCATTATTCATAAGGTGGAGGGAGCCTTTGTGATGGCTTTAGGACACTGGTTGACCGAAAAATTAATTTACGATAAAACCACTGGAGAACTGAAAACTAATAGAACATGGAATTATAAACCGCCTGGAGCTAAGGATATACCAGTGGATTTTCGTGTAGAATTTACGACTAATAAAAAAAATCCAAAAGGTGTATTAAGATCTAAAGGTAAAAACCATATTATCTTATATTCCTTATCTTTATCTATGCATATTATATTAACCCTTTGTGGACCGAAGGGGGAAAAATCACTAATTATAGCCTATATTTGCAAATAGAAAATAAAAAAATTATTTTAACAATTTTTTTGGTATTAATGACTTATGTGACTTTCAAATCACAACGACATATAATTTACCACAGTATTAGGTGGAGGGAGTAAGTATTTATACTGTAATATAAGTAATTATACTACGGACTGCAGTATAAGTACTTATACATTAAACATAGTAGTTTAAGGTTTATGGTTCGCATTGCTGTGTATGAAAATGTTATTTCACGTTGAAAAGCCTACCACAGGTCATGAATAATTATAATGGTTGTCTTGACAACGTTATACAATTAGGAAGTATGCGTCATTTCACAAAAAATGCCAAAATTATTAATTTACCATAGGGTCAGTTATAGTAATCGCAAAAAAATCGAAAATAAAAATATTTATTTTTCTTTACGTTTCAGAAATTTCTGAACATTTTGGCATACCTTAGCAAAAATTTATGTATGTGTGTGTGTGTTTGTATGTGTGAGCGGATACAAACTTTCGTCCACGATTTTGAGAACACTAACAGTACAACAGTAACAGTACAGTTTATATTTCTATGGGTTTTCTACGCGCTTTAATATTTCGTCTCCAGTTGAAGCAGCGCGATTGCTTTCAAAAAAAGTTCAAAATTTTCGTAATATAAAAAATGTTTTCATAATATGAAAAAACAAATTCAAATTTTTTAAAACATTCAATTTTTTTAAAAAAATCCAAAATTCTCAGAAATCTAATTTATTCAAAGTTTTCAAAATATTTTAAAGCTTTTCTAAAAATTCCAAATTTTCAGTACGGAAAGTTTCAGCAATTTGCCTTGAGGTACGATGCCATGCTAGTTTGAAAAATATCGAAAAATTAGGAGTGAATTGAAAGTTACGCGGGCCGATAGAGGGCTAAAATATGAACCAATAGCATATAGAAAGTCTTTGCTCGACTTAAAAACGATCATTTTGGTATATTCTAATTTGGACAAAGATTTGCAAATTTTTAATTCAATTTTGTATTATTCATCTTAACAATAATTATCATAATTACTAATCCTCATTTTCACCAGCTACTGGAGAACCACCAGCCACTATGGGTTTCGTAGCAGTGTGCGCCATAAGGCACGCCTTGCAATCAGCCAGAACTGATGCGAATGGAGGAAAAACTGACAAATGGTTTCCATTAGGTTCGTTCATACCAAATCACCTTGCATTTTTTGTTTTTCTTTTTGTGAGTAATTAATCAATTCTTATCAATTTTATCGCAGGTGCTCCGACTACTCCAGAAGATATATTACTTCATGCAAATATTGATTATCAGAAATTCACAATCTAAACATAATGAAAATATTTGTATTCAAAATATTGAGATAAAAAATGTGCTTTAATAATAAGGCACAAAAAAATTATGAATATAAATGCAGTACATAAGTAGGTAATGATTTGTGTCTATTTAAAATTTACATAACCATTTATTTTACATTATCGATAATTACTACTGCATGTCAACGCAAAATCTAATTTTTCAACATAGTTAAAAAAAATCTTTAAGACAAAACAGACGAAAATTTTGAAGAAATAATTGCATGACTATATAGATTATTTTAACTATAATAATATTGTTAATCGTTGAATTATGTAAGTAATATTTAATGTTTTCTTATTTTAAGTTTTTTCACTAAATTTATATACAAGGACATATACATACACACACGTATATATATATATATATATATATATACATATATATTCTAAAAATAGATTCTATTTCTAAAATATTTTAAGTTAGAATAGAAGAATTAATCTAACTTTGTTAAAAAAATGAAACAATGGGTAATATATTTTTTTTATTTACTTATGTTTTATATACATATATTATAATATATATATATATATATATATATATATATATATATATATATATTAGGGTGTTTTTTAAATTAGGGTTGATTTTTTTAAATTCTCTTGCTTCCAAGGGATTAAATGATTCTAAATTGATAAAAAAAATCTCTGAAAATTTTGGCTCTTAATATTAGTTTTAAGATAGTCCGCACTCCAACCAAAGTTTTTGGTTCTTCTTCCTAAGTGAATACATATCTTATAAAGAATATCAAATTTTTGTTGTAAATTTTTTATTCATGATCAAGATATGCAAATACAATGTTATTTCAAAATTTTGATTTACTTGTCGCTAAGTTATAAAATTCTAAAAAATAAATGAAATTTTACCCATGTTATTTCCATAAGAAACTCTGGTTGGAGTGCGCACTATACCTAAAGAAATCCAAAATTAAGTTTCAAATTTCGCTTTAAAAATGTTACTATAAAATTGATCACCCTTCCAATTGTTTATAGTTATCAGACAAATAGAACTCAGACTTCAAGTTACAATATTAAAACCAGTAAAAATATTAAAAGTCAATTTTCAATTACTTTGCGCTCTTATTATGTTAATCATGAAATTATAAATACTACTATATTACTAACTCAAACAAATTGTATTACATCTGAATTTGTAGTATGTTACAAAACTAGGAAATTTATTTAATTTTTTCAAAAACAATTATGCCATTTCATTACAATACAGACATTTACAAGATAATTTTCATAACTTGATTTACATTTGACGTCACTGAGTGTTTTATGATTTTATTGGCATGTCAATATTATTTCCATATTCAGCAAACAAATGTAAATGCAAGCATATTTATAATCATGTACTATAATCATTGATATGAATATTTGAATTTAGGAATAAAAACAAAAGTAAGAATACATTTATCGCAAAACTGACGATAAATGGAAAACAATATGAAGGTAATATAAATAATTGATTATATTTCTGATTCTGATTCTGATGATTATTATTTAATCAATTACTTTTTTGTCAAGTTTGTCCAAGTATAGCCCTCGATACAAGTCTGAACACATTTCTGGTCAATCATGTTCATCTCAAAGATACCAAAACCATGTGCCGCGAAGGCGGATGTGGAGCTTGTATCGTTTCTGTCAAACGGAAGCATCCAGTTAGTAACGAAATTGTCACCATGGCTGTAAACTCGGTAAGTTATGTTTTAACATTTATGGACAAAACCTGCACGTCTGTACAAAAATATATGATAAACTAATGTTGTATGGCATCTTGCCTTAAGGCAAATTGCTGAATCTTCCCGTACAATAATTAAATATTCAAGTAATTGTATTATATATAAGTCTCTCAAAAACTGTCATTTTTTGCACATTTATCTTTGTATCTAAAAAACAGGTGTAACTTTGCCAAAATCTATTTACCACTTCTTCTCATCATTACGAATCGAATTCTTTTTGGATCATACAAATCGGTTGATCAGTTCTCTTAAAAACTGACATTTTTAGCCCTTTTTGCTCATATCTCCGAAGGCGCTGAACTTGCGTTTGCCAAAAACTATTCAGCACATCTTCCTATCAATAGAAATCGATTGCTTTTTGAAATTTTTAAATCGGTTTATCCATTAGCCCGGTATCGTCGACAAAATTATATATGCTAAATTACCTAATTTAAGATGAAATATTTTGGCTCTGCTTCAGATATCTTCATTTCACCCACGAATGTATTTTCAAATTAATAAATTCAAATTTATAAGAGTTTTTTGCGCATTTTATCAATTATTATTTCCTTAAGTGACTATTTTGGTGAAATTTTTATACACATAAAATAAAATTCAATTTTAAAAATATTGCGCTTTTTTAATCAATAAATCCAAAACTGGATAAACAAATATTTTCATATGGTATCGTTATATTTATAAAATTTATTATAGTTTTTAGTTTTCATTTTTTTTTTATAAAACTTTAGTGCTTAGTATTGGTTCATTCTTGCCACAATTGGGAGATCACCACGGTTTCCGGATTGGGAAATCAAAAATCTGGTTATCATACTCTTCAGTCCACTTTAGCAAACTTTTACGGTACCCAATGTGGCTATTGCAGTCCAGGAATGATCATGAACATGCATAGGTAATAACATATACACATAATTTACAAATAATTTTCGAACAATTAGATTTTTTTATTTAAATATTAATCGTAGTTTGATAGAAGAAGATACAAATCTTACTATGAATGAGATCGAAAATTCCTTTGGCGGCAATATTTGTCGTTGTACAGGATATCGTCCAATTTTGGATGCATTTAAATCATTGGCAAGTGATGCAGAATGGGCAGTATTAGATAAAATACCAGTAAGTCAATATTTACTACATTATCGATATTATTATGTTTTGATATATAATTAATTACTAACATATTATTAAGAAGTTAATAATAGTTCCATACTGATTAAAGAAAATAATCACTAGAGTATAGAATCAGTAACAAAAATATCCAATTTACAAAAAATGTTTTGTTCAAAGGGTTTGGGTTCCATACTATGAGTGAGTTTCCATACAGAATCGGCCCCACCCTGGTATTTAAATGATTTTGATGCCATTTTATAGGTCTTTTTCTGAATATACGATATACCAATTTTCAACACCCTAGCTCTCCATTTGGTAGAGATATCATTGAAAACATGTGAAAGTGGCCCCTTTTTTAAACTCACTTTTTGTCGGAAATATAAAAGATATCGAAAAAATAGTAACGTCATTTTATTTACACTGATGATCACATTTGTTTGGGCATAAATAAATTCCAATTAATGAAAAATCCAAACGATTATTTTTTTTTTAAATTATTTTGCAGGATATAGAAGATTTGGACATTGAAAATAATTGCCCAAAATTGTCTTCAATTCGCCAAGACATGTATTCTTATAAAAACGGTCAAAACCATTTGAGAACCGAAATTGATGATGTAGTTTGGTATAAAGTGTTTTCAGTTAAAAGTATTCTGAATATTATGCAACGACACCAAGGTGCCCCTTTAATGCTGGTTGCTGGAAATACTGCTCAAGGTGCTTTTAGACCAAAAGTTAGACCTCAGGTTTATATTGATGTGAACGATGTTACCGAATTAAGGAAATGTTCGGTTGATGAATATATCGTTTTGGGTGGTAATGTAACTTTAACTGAAACTATGAAGTTTTTAAAAGAAGTATCTGGCGTGGAAGGTTATGAATATGTGGACATCATTGCTGATCACATAGACTTGATAGCTAATGTACCTGTAAGAAACGTGAGTTACGTAGAACTTAAATGAATTACAGCCTGAGGATTTTTATTCTATATCTAATTGCACATTCTTTCCAATAATAAATAAGCTTTTCACATCTGCATATTTTATCACAGCTACGTTTTTCTTTCAAAGGTGCCTCTATTAACTACGTGGTGGAAGAGGAAACATAGTAAGATATCACGCGTATTTATTTTTTACCTATTTTTTTAAAATCCAAATAATTTCGAAAAAAACAAAAAAATCCTTTTTTCTAGTAACTAGAAAAACACGTAATGTTTGGTGGGGGAAGGGGTTTAATTTTAAATATCATCACTTATTAAGAGGGAGGGGGGGTCCAAAAATCTTTGAAAAATCGATCACGTGATTAATGAAATCATGATTATTAAATGCATTATAAATATTAAATCATGATTATTTATTCACAAGCATATTTGATTAATTTCGTGCATAAATAAAAATGACTATTTTTAAATTATGCATATATCTTACAAAGTCAAAATTAAGTATCATCTATTGTGTTTAAATGTCCATATCATTTATTAGTTACATGATTTTTTATTATTGTTTGGGTTATATTTTTAAATCTTTTTTTCGTAAGTTCTCATCTTTCATTAATATGATTTTAACTATAATATTACTGTAAATTACGATTATTTATTTTACTAATAGGTAGGTACCATCGCCGGCAATTTAATAATAAAACATAACCATAGAGAATTTCAATCTGATATCTTTCTTCTCTTCGAAACAGTCGGTGCTTTCTTAAAATTAGGTAAGGTTTTATGAAAAAAATAAAAATGAAAAATACGCTATAGCATGTATGATATAAACATGTTTGATTTTTTGCAGTTGGAACAAACAATATTGAAACTCGAGTGACTCTTTCAGAGTTTCTGTTGACTGATATGAGAAATAAAATTATTGTTAGTGTTTCACTGCCACAGATTTCTGGAAATTTTGCTTTCAAGTCGTATAAAGTATGTAGTGCATATTAATTATAAAATTTCGATTTAATTAGATTATTGCTTTAAAAAGTTGATTTATTTATAGATTATGCCCCGTGCCCAAAATGCGCATGCATATGTTAATGCTGGATTTCGATTGCGATTCAACAATGAGACAGGGAATGTAGAAAGAGCTTCTTTAGTTTATGGTGGAATTAATCCATCAGTAAGTTTAAGATTATTTAATACAATTGCTACATATACTTTTATAACCATGATGTTTCCATAGTTCATTCATGCAACTAAAACTGAAAGCGCTCTTAGAAATATTAATATATTTGATAATGCCAGTTTGAGAAAAGTATTGAATATTTTGTATTCAGAAATACAGCCTGATTGGAAGTTACCTGATGCTTGTCCTGAGTATAGAAGATTATTAGCCGTTTGTTTGTTTTATAAAGTAAGTAGTTGAAAACAAATTTAGCAAACCTTAAACACAGGATTTTATATACGAACATTTTTTGGGAACCATTGTTCTCAAAAAATCTACTAATATCTATAATATCTAGTAATTATTTATGATATTATAATATAAGCATCTAAGAAAAAAGTCTCTGAGAAATAAGTGAGCTCTGCTTTGTGATAACGAACAAAGTATGTATCTAATAATGATAGGTTGCATTGATAAATTTTCATTACGTTTTTGTTATATTAACAATATTAATATCTTTTTATGGTATTAATAATTTATTTTAGTAGTAACTTCAATAACAAAAATTTACTATTTCAGTTTGTTTTGAACACCTGTCCTAAAAAATTAATATCTGCACAAAATATAACAGGATCTGAAATATTAAAAAGGGGATTATCCAGCGGACAACAAAAATATGAGACAAATAAAGATTTATGGCCACTGCAACAACCTATTCCAAAAATAGAATCTTTGTATCAGGTTTTTTATTTATATATAATTATTTTGTTTATAGAATACAGTTTTAAAATATTCTATTTACAGTGTGCTGGTGAAGCAGAATATATACCATATATATCTCTTAAACCGAAAGAACTTTATGCATGTTTTGTTTTAGCCAAGAAACCTCTGGCAATCATTACTAATATTGATCCCAAGGACGCTTTGGTATGAAAATGATTATAATTACATTATAATGAAAACTGTTGAAAACAAGTTGATAGATAATAACAAAAAAATAGTAAAGTTTGAAATTACTGTAAGATCTTTTTTTCAATTTTCAAATTACCTCACCAGCTCAATGCTGATTTCTAGTTTATTGAACATTAATGCCAATGTGTAATTTAAACGCACATTGTAAACAAAAAATATACAAGTAGGACTTTCAAGTGCAGTTGTATTTATTGTAGTTGTATTTCAACTTATTATGAATATATATTATAAATTTATTACTATATTAATATTTCTCAGCATATAGATGGTGTAAGAGCTTTCTATTCCGCAAAAGACATTCCTGGTAAGAACAGCTTTGTGTCAATGAAAATGTTGTTAATTTCCGAAGACGAAGAATTATTCTGTAGTGGCTTGGTGAAATACTATGGTCAGCCAGTTGGGATTTTAGTTGCAGAAACTCAAACTCTTGCAGAACGAGCAGCTCAATTGGTACATATACAATATTCGAATAATAACAAACCTTTCTATGTTGATGCAAGAGATGTTTTGGAACAAGAAAAAAAAGCCCCGAGAGTGAATTTTATAGGCGGTTATGATGCAACATCGAAAGGTAATTAGATGCATAACATCCTAATGTTAATGAAAGTTGTATAAGAAATCGCTTGTCGTGCAAGTATTGCACAATTCCAGAATAAAGTTTTTTTTAACACTTCTACTTATACATTTAAGCATAATTATATAGAACAAAAATTTATAATATTTAATTTATGATGAAATATTACAAGAATCTATTAATTACTGTTACCTTTTCAAGTTTTCATTACAGTTGCTACAAAATAACTAGACTGTAATGTATAATTTCTCAATTCTAAGTTTTTATATTTAAGAAACTAGAATACCAACTAGTAGTGCATGACATCGTGCCTTAAGGCAAATTGCTCGAATTTCCCGTACCAAAAATTACATTTTTTAAAAAAGATACTTTTTTTAAACTTTGAAAAAATTAGATTTTCGAGAAATTTTACATTTTTGAAAAAATTGACTTTTTTCGAAAAAAAACTTGAAAAAAAACTTGAAAAAAATGTTTTTTTTTTATTTTGAAATATTTTGGAAATTTTTTCTCAAATCAATCGCACCGCTTCAGCTGCATAGAGATGTAATATCTACGGACAAATGTTGTTACTGAACTCATAGAAATCTAAAAAAAATGATACATATTATTAAAATCACCATAACATATCTGATAATTTGAAGTGCATATGTCTAATGATTATTTTTGACCGCCAAATGGCATGTTGTTTTACTTCTTTTTTACTAAATCTCCGAAACCACTAGACCTGCTTTTTCAAAAATTCAATCAGTTCTTCATTCGTTATCTTAAAAACTGAGTTACCGTTTTCGGCACTTTTTGCCACGTGTCTTTTTTTTTTTTTTTAAAAAAAAACTTTATTACTAATTATTTTTTCTTTTTATCATACATACTACATATATTTTACTTTTTCTTTACATATTTTTACTGTTTATTACATTTTTCTTTACTAATACTTCTTCCAAAGGCAGGTCCGTGGGTTGAGTTGAAAATGCACTCAATCATGGTTGCACGATGTCAGAGCCTTTACATTTTTCTGTTGTATAGGGATACAAATCGACTTCCTTTTTGTATTTCAAAGCGATACAATCTTAGTACCTCTTTACTTCCAAGTGGCATGTTGCCGCTACAGCTATGCCCACGAAAGGCCATTTTCACTTGAAAACATATTTGAAATCTATGATTTCAAGTGAAAATTTGGTATCAAGCTGCTTTGATACCGAACCGACCGAGGTTGGATTCGAACCCGGGACTAGGATTTGCTAGCCCACGTTCTTACCACGGGACCACGGCCGGCCCTTCTTCGGAACGGCTAGACTTGCCTTTATGAATTATTTAAATCGGTTGATCGGTGTTCCTGAAATCGTCGACCAAAATTTGTATCCGCAGGCACACACATGCACATACACATATACATCTGATTTTTTTGTTGAGAAACCCTTGAAACGTAAAGATATAAAGAAATTTATATTTTCGATTTGCGATTACTATAACTTACCCTACGAGAAGTTAAAAATAATGCTCACATTTCAAGTTTTGTAGAGGTAAATATAACAATATTAATGGATAGTACCGCGCTAGGGCAGGTCCATGAGCTGTGTTAAACTCTAACTCAATTTAGGGATGACTAACAATAAGATAACTATATACAACACAATTAAATTATTTTTATTAATGTAAATTTTAAGTTCAATTTTGTATTAGGTGTTATTTTATAACTGGTATAATTCAATTTTTCAAAGTATTATTAACCATTACTAAAAATTATGGTAATCCCAATAAAAGTATCTAACAAAGAAATTTATAATATATAACAATTTGAGAAACTTATTTCTTACATTAATATATCGCTTCTTAGGTACCAAGTATCGGTACTGAACCTTAAGATTTAAAAAAGGCAATTTATAAAAATGCGTGCAAAAGTAATTGATAAAATTATTTTTATTTATAAAAGTCAATGTGTAAATATTTTCATAACATTTTATAGCCTAAAATATACAAATATAAATAGCATAATCATAAGCCATAAAAAATTGAACAATATTTATAAGTAATTTGATATTGTAAGTAATTATTTTTATATTAGTTGGAATTGGAATGTATTATTCTATATGAGCAAAACCTAAATTATATATATTATTTCTAGGGAATGACATAGTTTACTCTATTTCTGGTTCTCAATATTCAATCGGGCAATATCACTACACCTTGGAAACCCAATCTGCTGTCTGTATTCCAACTGAAGATGGCCTGGATCTATACCCATCGAGCCAGAGTGCCGATCACACCCAAATAGTTGTTTCGCAAGTCTTAAATATACCAGAACATAAGTACATCGAACAATTATATTTATGTAATTTAATCATTTAGTTAAACACATTTCTTTCCGGCAGAATAAATATTATTGTAAGGCGATGTGGTGGCAGTTTTGGTTCTAGATTATCTAGAAATCATCTTGTTGCATCAGCTTGCGCTTTAGCTGCCTATTTGTTAAACTCTCCGGTAAAGATATTTATGGGGATGCAGGATAATATGGAGGCTATAGGAAAAAGAAATTGGTATTTGAATAGTTATGAGGTTGGTATATATTACATTATTTTCATCACTTATTTAAATCATTATATATTATTTAATTTTAATATACAATATTATATATACGCATATCAACTAATAATAATTTGCAGCATTAGCATATCTATTATTTTTTATTTCAAAAATTATTTATCGTGTTCTAGGTAACAGTTAATAAAATCGGTCAAATCCAATCTCTTAAAAATGATTTCTACGAAGACGTTGGGCACTCGCTAAATGAATCAACTTTTATATTTGTAAATGAAATGTTCCAAAACTGTTACGACAATAGTCCATTTACTTTTAAGCATTATGCAGTGATTACTGAAAAGCCATCAAGTACCTGGACAAGAGCACCCGGTAAAATTAATATTTTTTTTATATTTATAATTAGTTTATCATAACATTTTTTAAAATATTTTTATTTAGGAGCTGTTGAAGCTGTAGCAGCTATTGAAAATATTATGGAACACATAGCTCATGTAACAGGAATAGATCCATTAGATGTCAGAATTTCTAACATGACCACTATAAATAATTTGGCTTATGATAGAATTAAAGCTTTTAGAGAAAAAGTCGGTAAGGTGGAATGATTAGCTCGGTCAATTTACGGATTCGAGATTACAATAATTCATAATGGGCTGTAACTTTGTAAAATTATTTAAAATACAAATATAAAAAATTGACACAAGATCAAAGGTAAAAAGAATGAATTTTTTGCGATTTTCAGCTAAATAGTCAGTTTTATCTCAAAATTACTTGAGACAAAATTGTAGAGCTGCAAAAAATGTATCAACACTTTATTTTCTCTGATCCACTACCTTTTCAAAAATAAATCACTTTGAAAGAAAGATACATTTGAACGCCACCTATAAGGTAGTGTGTTTAGCGCGTTTTTTTACGTGGCTTCCTCAGTAGGCCTATTTCACTCTTTTCAGAATGCAATACAATAAAATACAGTAGTCTGTATATTCAGTAGTTTACCTAAAGAAATTATTATATTTGAGAATGTTTTGCTAAGATTTAATGTTTGTAGTCCATAAAACTAATTTGCTAATATATTCAATCTTTGTATAAATGTATTATGGTTTTAGAGTACGACAGAAGAAGAAAAGAAATAGATGAATATAATATAAAAAATCGTTGGCGTAAACGTGGCATTGCAATAATCCCTATGCGTTTTCCGATTAATTATTATGGTCGTCACTCTGCAATGGTTTGCATTTTTCGTGATGGATCTGTTGCTGTCAGTCATGCGGGTGTTGAAACTGGTCAAGGAATTAATACCAAGGTAAAATTATCAGTTTGAAGTAGATCATGTTACTAACAGGTTTTATCGTTTAACTCTTTCACAAATTAAAAAAAAATCATATATAGGGTGAGCGCGACTTATAGCTCCGCGAGTAATAAAGATTGCCACCGACGTTTAGTTAAGAGTTTTTTAACGAGAATATTTGAAAGTAGAGGGCCAAAGATATATAACCAGCAATCACGTTGATTCTTATGACGTTGCTATCGAACAAAATATTTGCAATGTTTAAAAATACATAACAAAAGTCATAGTTTTTGTGGTCATGAGCTTTATTTTATTATAATTCTGATTGTACATATAAACCATGATTTTCAAGGAACCGTGTACTTTTAATTAGTGTTTCACAAGTGTAATAATAATAATAATAATAATACATGTGTTGCCCTGTGTTTTTTAACTTCCCGTAGGGTAAGTTATTGTAATGGGCCGAAAATCGGAATTGAAAATTTTTACATTTCTCGACGTTTTGAAGGTTTCTGAACATTTTGGCATACCTCAGAAAAAATGTATGTGTGTGTGTATGTATGTATGGATACAAATTTCCAGTCACGTTTTCGGGCGCACGGATCAACCAATTTGAATGGTTAAAAAACATTCGATTCCTATTGATAGGGAGAAGAGCTGATTAGGTTTTGGCAAAGGCAGGTCCAGCCGTTTCGGAGATACGGAGCAAAGAGTGGAGAAAATATAAATCGAATTTTTGAGAGAACAAAGTGTCCGATTTGAATGATCTAAAAAACATTCAATTAGTAATGATTGGGAGAAGTGTTTATTAGATTTTGGCAAAGGCAGGCCCAGCCATTTTGAAGATACTTAGCTAAATATGTAGAAAATGGCAGTTTTTGAGAGAACTAAGCGTCCGATTTAATTGATTCAAATAACTTTTTACTTGCCTTAACAAAATAATTGATAATTGAAAAAAAAAATTGTTTCAATTTTTTTTTCAAAAAAATTTTTTTTGTATATCGAAAATAATTCAGATTTTATTTTTAATTCTGACTATAGTTCTAATATACTTTAAACAAATAATTTCAACTTTGCAATTCAGTTTATATAATTATTATAAATATTAGACAATGTTACAATATTAATAATAATCTATTTGAAAACATTCAGTATTCCTCTAACATTTCGTTACGGTACGGGAAGTTCCAGCAATTTGCCCTAAGGCATGATGCCATACACCCCACTAGTTGAGTTTTTTTTTAAATACAGAATTTTTATACTATTAGAATTTTGTGTGATACAATAAGCAGACTAACAATAAAAAGTTATTTGCATGCTGTGTTTTCAATAAAGTGTCAAAAGGTATTATTTTCGCACACCAATTAATTATTACAAAATTATTATTTCTGCTTCGTAATTTCTTTTATAGGTTGCTCAAGTATGTGCTTATACTTTAAAGTTGCCACTCGACCTGATTTCAATAAAGCCCATGAGTACTATGGAATGCCCAAATTCGATGATCACAGGTGGTAATACTACGAGCGAATCTTGCGCATTCGTAAGTGTTTTAATAATATATTTTCGAGGGAATTAAAATTATAATTTATTATTTATTAATGCTAAATTATTATATAGTGAATGGTGTTGTTCACCTAATATTATATTCATTTTTCAATTAATTCGTCCAAATTTAATAATGACAGTACAGAGTAGTAACAAGTGACGTCAGAAGTTATCTTGCTGATTTGCATTTGTCCGGAAATTGCTGTTTTTACTGGGAAATAAAATTTATGGTCTATATTTTTAAGTGAAAATAAATACTACTGCTGCCTGATATCCTAGTTATTCCAACAGGCGGCAATGAAAGCATGCGAAACTATACTTAATCGTTTGAAGCCGATACGAGATTCACTTGGCGCTGATACGAAATGGGAAGATCTAGTGGAAAATGCTTATCTGCAACAAATTGATTTACAAGCAATTGGATCGTTAGTAGTGAAACATTATTTTGATATATCTTTTATATTATCATGTTACATTATAAATTATTCATAGACATAAACCAGACGCCATGAAGGTTTCTTATGAAATATATGGTTTATCCGCTTGTGAAGTCGAAATTGACCTATTATCAGGCAACGTATTATTGCAACGCGTAGATATTCAACAGGAGACTGGGGAAAGTTTGAGCCCTGAAGTGGATATAGGACAGGTATCTTAATATATATATATATATATATATATATATATATATGTGTGTGTGTGTGAGTTTAAATTTAATATACACGTTAGTTAATTCATGGGATAAAATTGGGTTCGATCTTATTTTTGTACTGATCTGATTTTTCTATTGTAATACAATGCATAAGTATGAAAATTATTAGAATATATTGCTTACAAACTATACAAATATTACCGCAAACATTGTAATAAAATCAACTTTTATTTTGCAATTATTAGTTAATTATATCTATAATAGTGCAATCAGAAAAAAATACATCAAATACCTATATCATATATATCAAATACTCTTGAAATATCATATATTTTATACATACAAGTACTTCTATTTTAAATACAAATATGCGGATGCCTACGACCTCCACTGAAATTATATATTATAGCTTTCACATATGTTTTATTTTGTTCTTATTTTTATTGATGACTATCTCTGTTTAAGATTGAAGGAGCATTTGTAATGGGTCTGGGATATTGGCTTTCGGAAAAGATAGTTTATGAAAAAACAACTGGCGAATTATTAACAAATAGAACTTGGAATTATAAACCACCAGGTGCTAAAGATATTCCGGTCGATTTTCGCATAGAATTTATCAAAAGTGAGAATAATGATGCGAAGATTTTAAGATCTAAAGGTAATGTGAATTAGTTTTAATATTATTAGTATAATATTTATAAATTACCAGCAACTGATTAAAAAACTAAAAATATATGATGTATATGTTGAAACCTTTAAAACGTAAAAATATGCAATTTTCGATTTCGATTTTTTGCGATTACTACAACTTATCCTACGGGAAGTTATTAATTAAATGAAGATAGTTATTATATATTAAATACATTAATTTAGGCACTGGGGAACCATCGATTTGTATGGCCTTTGTTGCAGTTTGTGCAATTCGGCATGCTTTGCAATCTGCAAGAGCCGATGCTAATGGTGGCAAACGCGCTGAATGGTTTTCTTTAGGTTAGAATAAATTACTGCTTTACAATCTTTACATGAAACAAAATATAAATATTGATTGTTAGGAAAACCGTATAATTTTCATGATTATTTCAGGAGCTCCAACAACGCCTGAAGAAATTTTATTAAATGCAAATGTTGACTATCAAACATTTACAATTTGATACCTCAAGTACATAAATGATATGTCTAAGGAACGAAACCACATTATAAAACCACAAGTACTTTAATGTTATTGCTTTATTTGCAGAGATTTATTATGTGATTTATTATTCATTTTGTACTTATTGTTATATATCAAATAAATATGAATATAAATATAGCGGTTTAAAGCAAAGTTCTTTATTTAGTAAATTGTAGCCGTTAAAGACTTATCCATGATCATGAATATAAGGTATCTATAAAACTGCTTAATATTTTCAACACTATAAACTGAAATTTATTCCAAATTTTGTTAAATCATAAATTATTTTCGATTAATTTCTTAATTTAAGCAATAAAACATGGTTTCTGCCTTGTATTGTATTATACTTGGGTTCGGTACTCTGTTGGGTCAACCTGGTTTCAAGCAGCATATCTGCTTTTACCTGAAAATTATAAATAAAAAATATGTTTGTACTACAAACATATTTTGCATTTATATGTAGAATACAAAGAACAACTTTCGTACTAAAATTTTAACTATGGTTACCTTTGGGCAGAATTCCGTCATGATACAGCGGAATACATTATTATATACAGCGGAGATTCAAGTTCTTGTATTATGAAATTTTATATTTATTAAAATAATTTAGTATATTTTAAATGGCAGGCTACATCTCATAATTAAAAATTTAAGGTTTACTTATGGTAGTAATTTTCAATATATTATTTTACTAACTAATAATACTTTACAAACGTTTTTGTTACATTTAGAACTGGGGAAATACTTATTAGAGTAAATGGTGAAATTCACACAGGTGAGTATTGATACGTTTTGAATAATTCTGCTGAATTTGAATATAACTATATTTTTTTAAAACATTATTCAATGTTAGTCACACATGATTTGCCTGGAAATACATCGCTAAATTTATATTTGCGGGATCACCTTGGCCTGAAGGATGTAAAATTTATGTGCAACGAAGGAGGATGTGGTGCATGTATTATTTCTGCTTCTAATTTGCATCCAGTCAGCGGAAGGATTATCAATTTTGCTGTAAATTCGGTAAAATTATACCTAAAATGAGTAATGCAGTTAATAATATTTTTAAATTACCGTAGAATAAGTAGTAATCGCAAAAAAATCGAAAACGAAGATTTTTGTATATATTTACGTTTCAAAGTTTTTTGAACATTTTGGCATACCTTAGAAAAAATGGATCCGTGTGTGCTTGTATGTGTGTATGTGTGTGTGTGTGTATGTGCGGATACAAATTTTCTTCGACGATTTCGGGAACACCGATCAACCGATTTGAATAATTTAAAAAACATTCGATTCGTATTGATAAGGAGACGTGCTGATTAGTTTTTGGCGAAGGCAGGTCTAGCCGCTCCAAAGATACGGGGAAAAAAGTGCCAAAAACGGTAACTCATTGATAAGTTGAAGAACTGATTAAATTTTTAGGAAGGCAGGTCCAGCGGTTATGGACTCTCAATAAAAAAAATGTCATTTTGCGGTCAAAAATGTTTATTGGACATATGTACATCAAATCATCAGATATTTTATAGAGATTTTAATAATGTGTACACATTTTGTGTGAATTTTTTTGGGTTCCGTACCAAGATTTTTATTTACGGTACAGAAAGTTCCAGCAATTTGCCTTAAGGCACGATGCCATGTACCCCACTAGTTATTATATCGAAATCGTAAATTATATGAGAAACAATTTTGATATTGTAAAAATGTGTTCAAACATGTAAAATATCAATTGTTCAAATAGTTACTATAATCAATATTTAATTTATTATAAATACAAATAATTATAATTTTTATATAAATGTTAATAATACTGATGATATAAAAATTCACTTGAATTTATAACATTAGATCGAATTGTTATTTTAGTTTACAAATAATTCTACATCAGAAGTGCAATAGATAGTAATATTATATTTATATATTGTTGAATGTTATGGTTTGAAATTGCATGACCCAAATATATCGGACTAATTTTGCAAAGAATACTATATTTCTTTATAAATGTTTTTGACGCTCTTGAACGCACTCTAGTCTCATTTTATTGGACTTCAATATAAAAAATTCTGTATTAATAGTAATCTATGTAAATTTTCAAATCCTAAATCAATTTAAACTTCATTAATGGTGAGGATTACAGATTAATTAGATATTAAGCGGACTGTAAATTATAAATATTCCATCATTATAAGATATGATGAAACGTCGAGACCCTCGATTAATCGAACTAATTGTTGTCGATGGGCATTCGGATAATCAAAAATCCGGATAATCGAGTGTATGAGGAATAATGTTGTGTATTTATTAAAAATAACAATCACATACATAGATATCAACAAAAATCAATGTTTATTAAGAAATTAACACTTTCCTATGTTTGTACATACATATCTTCTTCGATTACATTACATATGTAACTTTCGTGGAGCGTAGTCCGGATATTCGCGAATCCGTATAACCGAGGTCCGGATAATCGAAGTTCTACTGTATTTAATTTATGATATATATATATTGATCTTGAATCTACAACCTTCTTCTCTCGTTACTTTTGCTAGTCTCTCAATTATTTTAAGTTACAAGTATTTATATTCATGCGTTTATACTCCCTACGCTGAAGGAACCCGGGTTAAGTAGAAAAAGCCCTGGTCAATTCTTAACCAATTAATAATTTATAACTGAACATTATTTTGTTAAAGTGTCTCGTATCAGTATTCTCTTGTCATGGTTGGGAAATAAAAACTGTATCTGGTCTTGGAAACCAGAAAATAGGTTATCACCCATTACAAATAACATTAGCAAAATATCATGGCACTCAATGCGGATTTTGCAGTCCGGGAATGGTAATGAATATGAATAGGTATATAACAAAATATATTTTTTATTAATTCTATGAATATTAATTATTATATATGTATGTATTATGATTTAAGTTTGTTGGAAAATAATGAAAAAATTACAATGGCCGAAATTGAAAACTCGTTTGGCGGTAATATTTGCAGATGCACAGGCTATAGACCAATTCTGGATGCTTTTAAATCTTTAGCATCGGATGCAGATCCAGCTCTATGTAATAAATTTAAAGTATGTGTATATGATAGTAAAGACATTTTATGTATACTCATGAGAAAGATGTATTTTTTTAATAAAATTATTGCTAATAGGATATAGAAGATTTAGGCAACGTACAGATCAATACGAATACTAAGGAATTTCAGAAAAAATGTAGTTTCTTGAATTCGCCAAATTATTTTAAAATTGTAATCGATGATGCTATTTGGTATAAAGTTGTATCAATACATAACATAATTGATATTTTAAGAGAGCATCAAGGTATAACTTACATGTTAATCGCTGGAAATACTGCAAATGGCGTTTATCGTAATCAAATAACTCCAAAACTTTTTATCGATATTAATGGTGTGTCAGAACTACGAAAACATATAATCAATAGTAATATAATTTTGGGAGCCAATATTAATTTAACCGAAACCATGCTGTACTTGACAGAATATAGTAAAGTTAAGGGTTTCGAGTACGTTTTGGAGTTAGTAAAACACATTGATCTTGTAGCTAATGTTCCTGTTCGTAATGTAAGTAATTTTTAATAGTGCATAGTTTATTCTAAAAATTTATCATTAAAAATTTTATTTTTTATAATTCAGGTTGGAACTATAGCAGGAAATTTGATGCTAAAACATCAGCATCCTGAATTTCCATCGGATATATTTTTGATATTAGAATTGGTTGAAGCCAAACTGACAATCAGTATGTATAATGATGTAATACTATAATTAATTTAAGTAATTAAGTATTTAATTAATTATGCATATTTTTATCATATTTTAATAACGTCTCGTAGAGCAAGTTATAGTAATCGCAAAAAAATCGAAAATGAAAATTTTTATATATCTTTACGTTTCAAAGGTTTCTGAGCATTTTGGCATACGTTAGAAAAAATTGATGTATGTGTGTGTGTGTGCGGAAACAAATTTTTGTCGACGATTTTGGGAACACGGATCAAACGATTTGAATAATTCAAAAAACATTTGATTCGTATTGATAAGGAGACGCCGAAGATACGGAGCAAAAAGTGCCAAAAACGGTAACTCAGTTTTTAAGAGAACGGGCGCCCGATTTTATTAATTCTTATTAAATTTTTGGGAAGGCAGATCCAGCGGTTATGGACTCTCAATAAAAATAAGTTAAAAAAATGTCATTTGGTGGTCAAAAAGGTTTATTGGACTTATGCACATCAAATTATCAGATGTTTTATAGAGATTTTCATGATGTGTACACATTTTGTGTAAATTTTTTAGGGTTCTGCACCAAAATGTTTTGTTACGGTACGGAAAGTTCCAGCAATTTGCCTTGAGGCATGATGCCATGCACCCCACTAGTTTAGATCGTAATAAAATAAACTTGCTTTTAGTAAGAAATATTTAATCGCACGTGCGCCATGAGTCTGATTTCTTTATATACTGAAAAATTGTACTTAAGAAAATTAAATGAGCTGAATTATCTATTTAATCATTCTTTCTTAGGTAAAATATTTGATAAAATTTCATAAAAAAAATTTAACGTCTATTAAATTATTTTAGTGGATATATGTGGAAGTAAATTCATAGTTTCTCCAGCAAACTTTCTAGACATGGATATGGTTAACAAAGTGATTGTGAATATTATTCTTCCCCCTATTAGAGGAAAATATAATCTCAAGACTTACAAGGTGTGATAATATCAATTATTAAAAATTAATTCGTTTTATTTCACAATATTATTTTTTAGATAATGATTCGAGCTCAAAATGCACATGCTTATGTAAATGCTGGTTTTTGTCTGAATTTAAATCCTAATACCGAAACTGTCGAAAAGGCTAAATTGGTTTTTGGAGGAATAGCTCCTACGGTAATATGAATGTTTATAGAAAATTACTTAGCATGAACTTTAGTATTATTATTTTTAGTTTATTCATGCAACCAAAACTGAGAAATTACTCTTGGGTATGAATTTATTCGACAACAATGTTCTAAAGTCAACACTAGAAGCACTTCATGCAGAAATAGAGCCTGATTGGATTCTTCCAGACGCTTCTCCTGAATATAGAAAAAATTTAGCAATATCTTTATTCTACAAGGTATTTTTACAAATTTCTACAATACTTAAAGTACAATATTTGAAGATTTTAAAATTAAATTTAATGTGAAATTCAAAGATCGACTTTACTAAAAAAAAATTAGATTAACTTAAAAATCAAGTTTAATATTACGTATTTATATTATTAGCTACAAGTATTTGATATGTTCCAAGAACAAAAATTATATTGAACTACATTCAATATTGAATTTAATATGTATGTTCTAAAAGTTAGCATTACTAAAATCACTATAAAATTTCATAAATCAATCTTTATTTTAACATTATTTTATATCACGAGAAAAGGTTCGATTTAAACCTATTATAAAATTTTCATTGTTTAATTTTTATTTTACAGTTTGTTCTACAATCCTGTCCAACAAAAAATTTATCATCTAAAAACGTATTTGGAAGAGAACTATTGTTCAGAGGTTTGTCTTCCGGGCACCAAAAGTATGACACAAATAAAAGTAGTTGGCCACTTCAGAAACCGATTTCCAAAATTGAGGGTTTAGCACAGGTATAATAATATAAAATATTAATTAGATTCAGGTTCTGATGCTTCTTGAAAACAAATCAGTTGCACAAAACTCATGTATTGATTGATTAGATATTAACTTTTCTATCATAGAAATTGAACTAAAAAGTTGATTCTAACTATATTCTTTGCATTTGTAATTATACAAGTTATATATTAGTTATTCGATTTTAGTGTTCCGGTGAAGCTCAGTATATAATTGACATTCCACCTTTTCCAAATGAATTATATGGGGCATTTGTATTATCTACAAAAGCAGGAGCTGAAATAACCAAAATAGATGTATCAAAAGCTCTAGTAAGATATATATGTTCTGTTAATTAATTGTAACACATTCTAAAGGATTTTTATATTCAAGGCAACAGAAGGTGTCGTTGCTTTCTTTAGCGCCAAAGACATTCCAGGTAAAAACACATTTATCAACATGACTATGTTATTGGCATCAGAAGAAGAAGAATTATTTCCTGAAAAGACAGTAAAGTATGTTGGTCAACCTATCGGCGTAATAGTGGCTGCATCGCAGACATTGGCAGTAGCTGCAGCAAAATTAATTGATATACAGTATTCCCATGAAGGAAATCCGAAAATAAATGTTCAAGATATTATAACGAATGACAAAGAAAATAGAGTCAAATGCAAAATGACAGTGGATGCCAAAAATCAAGGTGTATAAAATAACAAAACAATAATTTTGAACACTGATATTAGTTTAGCCTCATTCAGTTGCTTGCGTTTAAATACTTATACGAGTACATGAGTTGATTATTTTAGTTTAGATTAGTTTTAAATTTGATGTAACGATTGATTTTTTTATTTTGAGAATAAATTTCTTAACAAATATATAAGTTTCGAAAATTACATTGCCCATGGACAAATAATCTAGATGGAATCTTATTAGTATAATTTTTCTTTAAATATTGAAAAAATCACATATATTTTATTTTAAATAATATAATTGAATTGAAATATAATTGAGTTAATAAATCGAAAAATATATGTGAATGTTTCAAGTATTTGTTTTGATGTCTGTGATATATTCAAAAAAATTATACTAATTAAATACAATTATACTAAATTTATCCAGATTCTTTGGATTCAAAAGCTTCACATATCAACAATTATTTAAAAATGATCAGGATTGAATCCCTTTGCTATTGAACATATCACAGATATCTTATACCTGATCTAAAGAAAATATCTGAATTTCTGATTAATTAGAAAGCTTTATAGAAACTCAATCTAACTTTTGTTAAACCTTCAAACAGTTAAATTTCTCTTCACAATAATTGTTATGATTTGTGAATTAGCTATTAAAAATAAATTTTGTTTTCAGGTGAAAATATTGATAATATAATCAGAGGTACGATGGAAATGGGAACTCAATATCATTATACTATGGAAACACATGTAGCAATTTGTGTTCCCATTGAAGATGGCATAGATGTCTATTCCTCTACACAATGGATAGATGCAGTTCAAATTGCAGTAGCTGATGTTTTGAACATTCCTGTTTGCAAGTACATTATATCATTAAGATAATATATTTATTTTTGCATAGAAGTGATAACTTCCATTCTATTCATTTGTTAATTGATTTTTTAACTTCCCGTAGGGTAAGTTATAGTAATCGTCCAAAAATCGAAATCAAAAATTTTTACATTTCTCGACGTTTTGAAGGTTTCTGAACATTTTGGCATACTTCAGAAAAAATGGATGTGTGTGTGTGTGTGTGTGTGTGTGTGTGTGTTTTGTATGTCCGCTTTTTTTCGTCCACGTTTTCGGGCGCACGGATCAACCGATTTGAATGGTTTAAAAAACATTCGATTCCTATCGATAGGGAGATGTGCTGATTAGTTTTTGGCAAAGGCAGGTCCAGCCGTTACGGAGATATGGAGCAAAGAGTGCAAATAATAGAAAGCGAGTTTTTGAGAGAACGGATCAACCGATTTGAATGGTTTAAAAAACATTCGATTCCTATTGATAGGGAGATGTGCTGATTAGTTTTTGGCAAAGGTAGGCCCAGAGGTTTTGGAGATACCGAGCTAAATTTAAAAAAAATGGCTGTTTTTGAGAGAACTAAGCGTCCGATTTAAATGATTCAAAGAACTTTCTGCTTTTTTCAACAAAACAATTGATTTTGGAAAAAAAAATTTTTTGTTTCTAATTTTTTTTCAAAAATTTTTTTTGTAATTTTGGACTAAAAATTCAAAAAATCACCCAAGCTAAGCACAGTCTAAGCGCCACTCTGGTAGAAATGTTTACGCAAGTGCGTTTAGACTGTTTGTGTACTGGAGCACTTTTTCAATTTTGTGAAAATTATTGAAAAATGTGAAAATGCCGCCAAGCTGAGCACAGTATAAGTGAAAATGTCGCAAAGAATTATTTGCAAATGCGTTTAGACTGTGACTATGCGGGAGCACTTTTTCAATTTTGTGTAAATTTGGCAACTATTTTTTTTGGAATTTGATTCGAAATGAAATGACGATTGTTAATGTTCTGGAGATGATAAATTGATTTATTTATAATTAACTTTCCATAGGGTAAGTAATCGCAAAAAAATCGAAAATGAAAATTTTTATATATCTTCACGTTTCAGAGGTTTCTGAATATGTTGGCATACCTTGGAGAAAATTGATGTATGTGTGTGTGTGTGTGTGCGTCCATGTGTGTGTGTTCGGATACAAATTTTCGTCGACGATTTCGGGAACACGGATGAAGCAATTTGAATAATTCAAAAAAACATTCGATTCGTATTGATAAGGAGACGTGCTGATTAGTTTTTGTCAAAGGCAGGTCTAGCCATTCCGAAGATATGGGGCAAAAAGGGCCAAAAACGGTAACTCAGTTTTTAAGAGAACGGAGCGTCCGATTGGAATAATTCAAAAAACATTTTACTTGTATTAACAGGATGAAGATTTGATCAAATTTTCATGAAGATAGGTCTAGCGGTTTCGGAGATCTAGTAAAAAAAACTAAAAAAAATAACATTTGGCGGTCAACAATAATCATTAGACATTAGACATATGCATATCAAATTATCAGATATTTTATTGAGATTTTAACAATAAGTATAAGTTTTGTTTACATTCCTATGGGTTCCGTACCAATGTTTTTCCGTTAGACAGCGACGCGGCGCTTACGCGCTTTATATTTTGTCTCTATGCAGTTAAGGCAGTACGATTGCTTTGAAAAAAAGTTCAGATCTTCCAAAATATGTCAAAATGAAGATAACATTTTTTCCAAAAAAAATTTTACAAAAAAAATTGTTTAAAAATTTTTTTTAAAAAAAATTTTTTTTTTCAAAAAAAGTAATTTTTTGTCCAATTTAAAATTTCTAAAAAATCTTATTTTTTCGAAGTAAAATTTTTTTCAAAAATGTTAATCGTTTTTAAAAAAATAATAATTTTTGGCACGGGAAGTTCCAGCAATTTGCCTTAAGGCACGATGCCTTAATTGCCTTAAGACAGAATTCCACTTACAGCTAGTTTCTTCCATATTAGTAATAGTAGAAACAAGTTATTATCCATGTCTATTATCCATGTCTATTATCCATGTCTAGAACCAATAGCAATGACATCAAGTTATTTTTAGTTTTGTATGAAAAAATAGATAGATAGAGGACTAGAGTTTATCAACTTTGCGGAAACATATAGATTAGTTTTTGGTAAAGATCGGTTTTCTTGTAATAAAGTGTTAAAGAAAAATTTTCGACGAGTTTTATTATTATTTTTTTACGGTAGATACCATAGTCTTATAGATCATACTAAAATATTACGGCTCTGCGACAAGTCGTTTAATTTTAAATGTTCTTCAAAATTTGCAAAAATTAGTATTGTTTTTTTACATTTGTCAAAATTTCAGAAATTTCAGAGATTTCAGAAATTTAAAGCCATTTGGTGTATTTTAAGACTATCGTTTGTCAGTTTTGTGCGACGATCTGCCAAGCCGTTTCTTTGTGATTTGAAAAAAAGTGTTTAACTTCTCGTTCACATTTAAGCTCATACTACGGAATCGATTTTAAAAAATCAAAAACTGTTTGAAAGGTATTAGTTGGGAATGATACTGATAATTAACTGTTGAAAAAAAATTTAAGCTGATTTTTATGAAACTTTTTTTGGCGATATATATCGTGGTCTTATAGAAATTACTGAAATATTACGGATTTACGACAAGTAGTTTGATTTTAAAAAATCATCAAAGTTTAAGAAAATGAGTAGTTTTTTACTTGGTATAAAGATAGTGTTCGTTCGTTTTCAATCATGTGTAATAAAACCACTCGGAATACTTTTAATCAATCATAAATTAATTTATATTTTATTGAATAAGTCGATTATTTATACATATAGGGAAGTATATGTAACTTGCCTCAGGGCAAAATACCAATACCAACTAGTTTATATCTTCACTTATATAAGTATCGGCATGTAAATATATTATGGTATGCAAATATAATATTGTCGCAAAAAACTAATTAGAACGAGTCCTTATCGAGTTACATTCCATGGCTTTTAAAATTTAGAAATCGGTGCAAATGTTTTTGAGAAATCTTCAAAGAAAGATCAAATGTGTGTCAAATGATTCAGAATGACTCGTATAATAAATATAATGACTTGTTTCAGTGAATATATAAATTTAATTATGATTATCGTTACTTTTATAATTGTAAAAACCCTCATTATATATTCACGTTAGGGTTAATTTGGCTGTGAGGCGAATCGGTGGTGGTTATGGTATGAAAATATCTCGCAGCAATTTGGTGGCTGCAGCATGTGCTTTAGCTGCTTATAAATTGAAGAAACCCATACGAATCGTTACAAGTTTTGAAGATACAATGAATGCTTTCGGAAAAAGATACGGGTGTATCAATGATTACGAAGTATATCCTAATATTTTAGCAAACAACTAGATATATTTCTTTGATAACGTATATATTTCTTTTTAAGGTGGCTTTTAATAAACGTGGCAAAATTCAATATTTAAAAAATAGTTTTTACCAAGATCATGGTTGTTCAGAAAATGAAAGTGTTTTAGCATTTACAATGGGCGTTATAAGTAATTGTTATGATATGAGCAGCTGGGATATAAAAGCTTATTCTGTAGTAACTGATACTCCATCTAATACATTTTGTCGCGCTCCAGGTTTATTTTTTATTATATGTGAACTGTTTTATTTAAACATTAATTGAATAAACATTTATGATTGCATTTAGGGTCCGCTGAAGCAACTGCCATGATTGAAAATATTATGGAGCATATAGCATATGTTCTTGGATTAGAGCCATTAGAAGTGAGGCTAGAGAATATGAGGGAAAATGATAATTTGCTTTTAGAAATTATTGATGAATTTAGGAAAAAAACAGGTCAATTCTAACCATAATTTTCAATTAATTCATCAAATAAAGTTTTTATTTAAAACCCAAAAATATCGCTAGAATTTTTACTATATCAATTTTTAGATTACGACCACCGCAAAACTGAAATTAATAAATTTAATAAACAAAACCGTTGGCGCAAACGTGGGATTTCCATCGTGCCACTAATGTATCCCTTGGAATATCTTGGTAATTTTTGCGCAATGGTATGTATTTACCATGGCGATGGAACAGCAATCGTAACACATGGTGGAATTGAATGCGGTCAAGGAATTAATACAAAGGTAAAATTAAAAAAACATAGTTAACATATTGGACTATAAGATTTTCTCGTTATATTTCGATTCTTTCTAAAATAGGCTGCACAAGTTTGTGCTTATGCTTTGGGATTGCCTCTGTCTATGGTGCAAGTTAAACCTTCATCGGCTTTAACTGCTCCAAACGCCTACTTAACTGGAGGAAGTTCAACGAGTGAAGCTTGTTGTTATGTAAACAGCTGTTTAATCATAATTAAAATTGCAAGTGTTATAAATATTACTTTAATCATTTGAATTATAGGCAGTTCTGGAAGCTTGTAAAACTCTGTTGAAAAGATTGGCTCCTCTCAGAGAAAAATATGAAAATCCGCCCTGGAAAAATTTAATTGCAAAAGCATTTGACGATGGTGTCGATTTGCAAGCTACAGCTTTGTAAGAATTATTTACGAGATAAATATTTTGATTAGCGAAATTAGCAAATTGTTATATCTTCGACTGTTATTACGACTCATAAAAATGAGTCATTTATAAATTATTGAAAAGAGTAACTTATTGCCAAATATATTTATTTTGCAGTTGTGACACAAAAAATAATGTTGATACATATAATATAGCGGGTTTAACAAATTGCGAAGTAGAAATTGATATTTTAACAGGGAACGTAATGATTTTGAGAGTAGATTTGTTGGAAGATACAGGTGACAGTATGAGTCCTGAAATAGACGTAGGACAAGTAATTGAAATCTCAATACCATGTCATATTTAATTCATTTTGAGTAGGCAATAAAATAATATGTTATTTGTAAGGTGGAAGGTGCTTTTGTCATGGGATTGGGATATTGGTTAAACGAACAAATTATTTACGATGATAAAACAGGTGAATTATTAACTAATAGAACTTGGACATATAAACCTCCTGGCGCAAAAGATATACCAATAGACTTTCGAGTAGAATTCATACGCAATTCTAAAAATCCCTTAGGTGTCTTGCGATCAAAAGGTATTTAAACATAACGATTTTTTTAAAATAGATTTTAAACAAGTTAAATTCATTGTAGCAACAGGTGAACCACCATTCTGCATGGCTTTTTCAGCAGTATGTGCTAT